ATAAATATTTCTTGGAACACAGCCACATTTATTCATTTGTGCATTTCCGGCCACTTTCCTGATGGCATTGGAGGAGTTGCCAGAGTCTGTATGGTCTGCAAAGCTGAAAACATTCACTCTCTGGCCGTGCACAGAAAATGTTTGCCAGTGCTTCATCTGAGCCATCCCTTTGTCTGCAGACTGGGAGTCTGCAGCTTGAGGGGTGTCAGGCACTGATGCTCAGGTGTCAGTTTTCTTCCCGCCTTAGTTCAGTGCTTCTGGACCAGGGGATATTTGGTGAAGTCTGTAGACATTTTATCACAACTGGGCTTGTAGGGGGTATGGAATGTGTATCAGGCATCTAGGGGGTAGAGGTCAGTAGCCGCTAAAGCATAGGGCAGCCCCACAGCTAAGAATTACCCCAGCCCCAAGTGTCATTGAGAATCCCTGTGCGGAAGGTCAGGACAGGGCCAACCAGTTTCCTGGTTGGTCTTCTGGGCTGAGGAGCCAGTCAGAGCGTCCACTGCCCTGGAACTGAGCAACTCTAGGATTGTGTCGGGGGGAAAGGTGCAGACAGCTAGTTCTTTTCTTGGCCCCCTGAGCTCCTGTACCTGCTAGTGGCCCTGGGCAGGCCTCCAGTGGAAGACTAAGCTCTCTCCCGTATCCCCCAAATGAACAGGACAGGGGCCTACCTGCTTGGGCAGGTGAGCTTGGTTCCAGAAGGGGAGATGGTTACCGAGGCTGCCAGCTGAGGTCATAGGGAGGGGGGCCAGGGCCAGGGATGGGGGAATTGGAGGTGCTTGCAGGGGCCCAGGTGATCAGGGTGCCCAAACTGGCAGAAGGCACTTGAGGCAGGGGGAGCCTCAGGGAAGGGGCTGGCACGGCTCCCACCCAACCTTCTGGAAAGTGAGAAGAACAGATGCTGTGACTGTCAGATGAGATGCTCCTGGCACTTTGGGAAATTGCAGAATTAACAAAAGGACGGTTGCTTTCAGGGAACACAAGCAGGGGCGCAGCATGGACAGCTGGGCTGGACTCTGGGGACTACCTTTCCTGGAAGAGCAGCGAGCAGGGGTTCTCCTGCCTGACCTCTGGGCCGCTTGCGGGCTGGGTCTGGGGGCAGAGCAGGGTCGGGTCAGAGTCGGGCCAGTCTGCACGCAGCTTGGAGCCTGGCAAGTGGCAGGGTTGTTTGGAGGTCATCTCATCTCATTTCTACTGCTGCTCCTGGGTCCAGCCTCAGCAGACGGTGTCCTGCCGCCCGAGGATCTGCACAGAGGGGCCCTCAGCAGGAATGAGGATTTACCAGCTGTTACTCGCAGAGCCCCCAGAAGCAGCAGCCAGCTCTCTCTGGAAGCTTCACGGACAAAGAGGCATGGGTCTGAGGGTCTGCAGGGAGCCTGCCTTTCCTCCTGGCGGAGAGCGGGGGGCAGGAGGGCTGGCAGCTGGTGCGGTCCTCTGCTGGACCCTCACTGGGGAGAGGGAGCCGGCGTGAGCGCCGTGTGGCTCTGGGTAACCGAGGAAGGCTCAGACCAGAGCCGGCGACTGGGTGCTGCTCAGAGGCAGGCGGCTCAGACGCCGTGCTCCTAGACCTGTTAGAGCAGGAGAGGAGAGGACGGTCAGCAGTGTCCTGAGAGGGGACGGTTTTAATTGTGATGTGGAGCTAATTTAGACCCAAGAAAACGCTCTCTTTTCTTTCTTTTTTAAGTTGGGGTATAGCTGACTGACAACACTGCGTTAGTTTCAGGTGTGCTGTATAGCTGATTTAAAATATTGTGCTTGTTTCAAGTGTACACACACACACACACACACACACACACACATGTATTCCAGAGTATCTTCCATTATGGGTTATTATGAGATATTGAATATAATTCCCTGTGCCACATAGTAAATCCTTGTGGTTTATATATTGTATATATGGTGGTGTGTACCTGTTAATCCTCATTTTATCCCTTCCCACCCTTCACCCATAAGTTTGTTTTCTGTATCTGTGAGTCGGTTTCTGTTTTATAAATAGATTCAGTTGTATTATTTTTTAGGTTCTGCCTATAGGTGATATCACACATCACATTTGTCTTTCTCTGTCTGAGTCACTTAGTGTGGCATTCTCTAGGTTCGCCCACCCGAAGGGAGCTTTCCCAAGCAAGGAGGTCAGACAACTGGCAGGGGAGCGGTGCAGCCTCTCCGGGGTTAGGGACCTGCCTACCTGCCCTGGAGGCTCGGCCTCGCTAAAGCCCCCAGTCGGGGGGTCCTGGGGCATCACTCTATCCTTCCTGGCAGATCCTCTGCTTTCTGGTTCCTGGAGCTGCAGCAGCTGAATTATAGATGGGAGACGGGGGTGCGGGAGCCAGGGACTCTGACACTCTGGAGTCATGGGCCAGGGAACCCGCAGAGGAGGCAGTTGTCCCGTCCCCCCTCGAAAGTGAGCTGGCCATCGTGAGGGCCACTCATGACCAGGCAGCAGAGAGGCAAGGGGTCACACTCCTCATTTGCTGCAGGGTCATCCGTCTCCTTTTCACCACTCTCTCCAGGGGGCCTGCCGGCGACAGATGCGCCCCTGAGGAGGGGCTGCCGGCCTCCTCCCCACCGGCCGCTGGCTTCTCCCCATCCCTGCTCCCCTGGAGCCTGCTGCATTGTTAGCTGGCACCCCCGGGGACAGACTGCAGATGGAGCGAGGCGGGTGTCTGTTTTGTTTTGGGGGCGGGGGAGTCTCTGAACCAAGAACCTATTTGGCTAATGAAGTTGTAATTACTCCCAGGCTCACTAATAGGATGAAAACCCGCGGCTCCACTAAAGCCACGGATGGACCCGCGTGTGCCTGACAGCTCTGCAGAGGGCCGGGTGTCGGAGGTGGGAAGCGTGGGTGCTGGGCAGGAAGAGGGCGCAGAGGCTGTGCTTCTGGGAGCAAGTCACACCGACACCATCCTCAGAGATTCCTGAGAACTACCATGCACCCACTTATCCCAAACCCAGCACAGCTCCCAGCTACCTGCTTTGGTGGGAGATAGAGAGACGGCTGAAAATCCCAAACTATTCCTACCCGTCTTTAGATAGAATCTATTCACAGGTTTGTACATATTTTGTTTCTTCTAGAAAACCCCTCAGCCCTTTCGGATGCGGTCCAGTTGAGCATTATGAGAAATGTGAGCCTGCTTTCGCCAAGGAGGCCTTGGCTGAAAGGGAAGGCTGGGGCGGGGCATTCGCTGGGGGCCGGGGATTTAGAGCTTGCTGGGAGGTTCCATGAAATGAGGGGACGGACCAGGACTCACATTGGCCTTCACCTTCTGTAGGGCTGCTTCCTGAGGGACAGGATCTTACTGCCCGTCCAGGGATTGAAACTTGCTGCCCTTCTACCAGGGGCTAGAGGCTAGAGGCAAAATTTCCTCATTCTTACCCTGTTTAAAAGCAAAAACACTTCAAGGAGTCAAACTGCAAAACACGCACAAAGTTTATTATTAGAGATGCAGCCCAGTGTATATGGGAGCACACAGAGGAACATTTATTTTTGTCAGAAGCAGCGCAGAAATACGCACTGGGAGAGGAGTTGGAGCACAGTAAAGTGATTTAAATCGCGACATAGGACAGGCCTTCCGGGTCTTTGTTACCTTTGGCCAGTTACTTTGTTTCTTCTTTCACAGATGACAGGTCCTTGGACCCTCCCCAAGATGTACGCACAGCTTTCTGCTAAGTGGAGGCTTAAGGCGGCATGTCCACACTTATTATGTGGCGGGGCCCCCTCCCCTTTCAACCTCCAAGAAACCTTCCTGCCTGTGTGCAGAGAGGCGAGTCTCCCTTGACCTCAAGAGAGGCCATCTTATCTCTGCTTCAGCAGAGCTTAGCTTCTGCCACTAGCTTTGTCCTTGGAATATCTGAGTGAGAATGACATTTGAATTTTACTCCGCTTGACAAAAACCTGCCGTCCAGCCGAGGGGCCCATCCGTCTCCTAACTCAGGTCTGAGCCACACGCACAGTTTTGGAAGGGATGGGTCTGTCCGGGAACCCCTGCCGACTGAAGAATGCGCTCACGGCCCTTGTGCACACCCAGCCCAGCCCACGTTCCATCCCAGCAGTTGGCCTGTGGCTTTGACCGCAGCAGTCAGCCCAGGGCATTGTCCTGTGGAAAACTCGGGAAGGAGGTGCATGTGGCTTGGGAGGAAGGACTTTCCAGTTTTTGTTTCTTGTGGAGGTTGTTGCTCGGCTTTGGGAGGGAGAAAGATAGAGGATTTTAGCTTCTCTGGACTTCAGAGCTGACGGCCTCAGTGATGGTCTCTGACAAACTGCCCTTCCTCGGGAAGAGACGTGTCGGCGTGGAGCCAGAAGGAGCCCTGAGTCCCATCCCTGTGGCCTAGATGGGTGGTTCCTCCCACCGAGCCTGGGCGTTGGCTCCTCAGCCTCAGGGGAAATGGCCCCAAGGAGGTAACCATACCCAATGACAACCTGGACGAGAACTCATGGAGGGGAACCCGGCCGAGTTCTGCTCTGGGGCCATTCTCTCTTGGGACAGACCGAGGCCTTCTGGATGTCTAGCCTATTCCTCTTCTGTGGGTTGTCTGGCGGGGAGGGGGTTGTGCTGTGTCCTAATAGCTAGGCTGGAGAGAGCAGGGGCAGGAGGGAGGAAGGTTCAAGATGGACAGTTCTTTCCCATAAATGAGAGTGGGTTCCTTGGCTTTCAAGGGAGACAAAAGCACTTAGGGGACTTAGCGAAACTTAATTAATGGGGCTGTAAAATGAGCCTCTAGCTCTCAATATCCATCACCAGCCCTTACATCCAACCACTTGGAACCTGGTAAACTTGCTTTTAGAAAGACAAATACTGCCCGCTCCCATCTCCGCCCACCACACAGCACCACACAGACTAAACCACTGGCTGGGCAGTAAATACAGTCATGCAGACAGCTTGAAGACAAACAGGCCTGCTTAGCCCTCAGGGACCACTGGGTCCTAAAGATCGGTGGACAACCTGCAGCACATGAGGGACCACAGGGTTACAGAGTCACGGGCTGCTGCTCCTGCCCACCAGAGGCCTGCAGCCTGGCCAGGTGTGGAGGAGACAAGCTGGGCACTTGTGCTGAAGGACAGGGGCAGAGGGAGCGGGGAGGTCAGGAGAAGCTGTTTGGAGAGAGACGGAACTGTGGGCCAAGGTACCGATGAAAGGAGGGACTTCAGCCTCTCTGGGAGGATGGGAAGGACTTTTGAAGGAAGGAATCAGGCTAAGGAGAACATCCTAGAAGGCAGAAGACGGCGGAAGTGTAAGGGGATTCATTTATTTAAATTTAACAAAGTATTATATAATACTTACTATGCATCAGGCATTTTTCATATTTTAACTAATTTGATCCTTGGTGTTGTTTAGTCGCTAAGTCATGGCTAGCTCTTTGCGACCCCATGAACTGTAGACCTCCAGGCCCCTCTGTCCATGAGATTCTTGAGGCAAGAATACTGGAGTGGGTTGCCATTTCCTTCTCCGGGGGATCTTCCCAACCCAGGCACTCAAACCTGCGTCTCCTGCACTGGCAGGCAGATTCTTTCCTGCTGAGCCACCAGGGAAGCCAAATTTCATCCTTTCAGCAACCTAAAAGGTAGCTACAATGATAACCCCTGCTCTATAGATGAAGAAACTGAGGCAAAGCAAGGTCAGGTAGCCTGTCTGCGCTCACACAGCTGGGATCTTACTGACTGTCCACCGAGCCCTGGCTCTCTCTCGGTACTCGAGGCTGAGTCGTGGAAGGATGCGTGCCTAGGGCTTCCCTGCCCCTCGTCATGTGGCCAGGGGCTGCAGGCACCCATGGGCCTTCCCTGGGTTCTCTGGGCTTTCTTGGAGTGGGGTCAGGAGCCCGCATGTGCTACCACAGCAGAGCAGAGCAGAAAGGGACCAACCGCTGCCGGATCCCATGGAAAGCGAGCAGGGGCCGCTCTGGCACGAAGCCTTGGAAGCAAGATGCCATGGCTAACTCTTCACAGAGACGCCCGTTCACACACAAGTATAGCCGGGAGAGCTGAGGATTCAGAGTTAGAAAGCCCTGATGGCTGGTTCTGGCTTCGTCACCCACCTTGGGCCAGAGAGGCAGCCGCGTGGAGCTTGTTTCCTCACGCATAACAGGATATAAAGCTACCTCCTCAGAGGGTAGGTGTGAGGTTAAGAGACCATTTATGTGAAGCACACAGCCTCTGCCTCACAGTCGGCCAGCATCAACGTTATTAGTTACTCTTCTCCTTAATCACTTAATGTAGATGCACTGTGACCCAAATGCCAGCTGGTGCCTCTTGCCTCTCTGACATCTATGTATAAACGGCTTAGTTGCCTGCCAATTCCATGGCCTGTGGAAGTCAAAGTCTCCCATAATTCTTGCTAATTCCTGAGGCCTTGTGCTCTGACCTCTACATTCTCCTGTGGTCTCTGCTTCCTTTGGCATCAGTTTGGAGGTAGCATTCACCAACTTTGCTAGTTTTTATAAACCATTGACTCACACAAAGCTAATCCATCAATTGGGTAGACTTGACTGACAATTTGGGGGCGGTGGGTAGGGGCACATCTCAGAGTTCCCAGGCTTTTCCTTGTGGATCCTCTAATCTAGGCATCCTCAAACGTCAGTCTGCCTCAAGGGTTTGTTAAAACACAGATTCCAGAGTTTCTGAGACAGTAGATGGGAGCGGGGCAAGAAATCTGCATTTTTGATAAGCTCCCAGGTGATCCTACTGTGGCAGGTCTAAGGACCACACTCTGAGACCACCGCTGGGCCGGGGACCAGACTCTGAGACCACCACTGGCCCGGGGACCACACTCTGAGACCACCACTGGCCCGGGGACCACACTCTGAGACCGCTGCTGGTCCGGGGACCACACTCTGAGACCACCCGTCTCGTCTCCCCTCTGATGTCATCGTGCCTCAGCTGTCTCTTGCCCTCAGTTGCTCCGGAGTCCTCAGACCTGCCCCCTCTGTCGTGCAGGCTTCCTTCACTGCTCTCTGGGAAAGCTCCACCCAGATCAGTGTCCAGACCCTCCACTAGTAGGATTCAGGCCTGTTAGAGGGCAGTTGTGATTTTAAATGTATCATCAGTAATTTTATTTTTTTGTTTGTTTGTTTCAGAGTGATCTACTCTTGCCCGCCAGCCACAGCTCGCCCTTCCCTAGTTCTCTTGAAGCTGAGTTTCTGTTGAGGTTGAGTTCCTACAGAACCCTGGCCAGGACCCTACCAGACCCATCCCTGTCTACACAAAGCTGTGCTTCTCTGCTGAGGGTCTGAGGCTCATCAGCGGCAAGCTCTGGGGGGTGGGGGGTGGGGGATGGGTGGGGGGTGTGGGGTGGGGGATGGGTGGGGGGTGTGGGGGAGGGGGCTGGGGTGGCTGGGCCGCAGCTGTGGTTCCAAATTGCTCGGAGGCCCACTGCCTGGTCTGTGCTGCAGCGGGAACCACATCAAACAAATGCGCTCTGATGCATTAAGTGGGGAGGGGGAGGCTGAAATTGGCCCTCCCCCACCCGCCTCCACCTAATGCAGTGTAGAGTGGTAGAGGCTGCCTTGATGAGGGGGACCATAACGAATTCCCAGATTCCATCCCTTCGGGGGCAGCTGGGCAAGAGGGGATATAGCCTTCACTCTTAATAAAGATTGGAAGATGACTTGCTCCCTCCCACTGGGTCAGTTAATCCAGCTCCACACTGGGGATTAGCATTTCTAATGGGCTGGGAGGCCCAGCCTTCAGAAGACAGGGATGAGGGATGACAGATATTCTAGGGGTCCCTGGGGCTCTGAAGGGAGGCCGGCCTCTCTTTGTCTGGACTTGACTGAATTGAGGTCCGTGTTCTTCGAGTAAGACAGTCGCTTCATCTCTCTACTTCTGTGCTCTTGAGTGGGGGTTCCTGCTCTAAAAATGGGCCCGTGGACCCCCCAAGTATATCCAAGTAAAAAATCCAAATATCCAAAAGGATGACACAAAACTTTCGAATTCACCTGGCTACTTCTTTCCTTCGAAGGCACAGCCGTTTCATTCATTCATCCATATTCATTCTGTCCTTACTGTGTGCCAGGTTGGCCTGCGGATACAGAGGTGAAAAAATGGTATTAATTTAGGCTGTTCATCATTCAGTGGAAGAAGCACAAAATAAGTGTTGTATGCCAAGCCCCTGGGAGAGACCTGAAATAGGTGTTCTGGGGGCATAGAGAGGGAATCTAACCAGACTGTGCTGTGTGTGTGTGTGTGCATGCATGTGTACTTGTGTGGCCATAGCAGAATCAGAGAGGACTTCCTGAGACAGTGTCCCCTGCACATCTTGTTAAAGACACGTGACCCAGCATGGAGGCCACAGCCTGTCTTTCAGGAGTTGAGATGATCTGTAAGGAAAAAAGTGGTTAGAGAGATTTGGGAAAGACAAAAGAACCTGGAATTGGGTGTTTCAAGGCCTGGTTGTGAGCATCAGATTATGAACTATCTGGTTGGACAGGTGTCTGTGAAGTTGAGAGGAGAGTATTTCAAGCCTTCCAACTTTTGATGATAATCCATTTATTGAATCCACAGTTATTGAGTCCGTTGTCCTGGACATTGTCACATTGCTTTTGCTTACCTGGTCATCTCCCTTGATAGTCTGAGTTTCCTGAGGACTAGAAATCTATCCTACTTATTTTATGTCATTAACTGATCCAGAAAAAGTTATTAATAGGTGCTTTTTGAGAGGAATTAAATTGCCAAAGTTGAGAAGTCTGAGAAATTGCATGTCAAAGGCACTAGAAATGGCTTGAAATGACTAGCATTTAGGGTATATGTGAAGAATAGTAAAAGTAATAAATAAGACTGCAGAGGTAAGGGTCAGATCATGAAAGATCTAACATGTCAAACCAAGGAGTTTATACTTTATCTTACTGTAGCAAACTTGAAGTTTTCAAGTAAAGGAGTGACATGATCAGGTTTGTGTTTTAGATCTTTCGGCTGCAGTTTCAAGAAGGAGTAGGCAAAACAAGAGGCAAGGACACTGTCAATTCAGCATGAGGCCTCGGCCTAATGCTGGGACAGTGCAAATGAACACAAGGAGCAAATTTCTGAGATAGTTTGTAAACTTGAGAATGATAAGATCTTTCTTGCATTAGAACAAGTGCACAGGGAAGTTCAGAAGTGGTGTGTGATAAACCCAATGAGTTATTCAGAAGGAGCTAGACCTGGAAATACGTTCTTATTTTAATCTAGTGAGGCAGTAACTCCTCAAGTCAATGATCTTTTCTGAGGGAAGAATAAACACCACTGGCTTGGAACTTGGTGGTTCTTTGTCCCAGAGATTTGGGTCTGCATTTGCAGGGGACTCTTTCTGCCTATATTTCCCATTACTGCCTATAAACCACTAGTTACATTCCTGCACAAGCAGAACCCTGTATGCCCCACAGTGCCCTGAGGAAAGGGAGGGGGCTTGCAAAGTCTGGGTGCATCCCTCACCATTCGCCCTGCCTGGTGATGTCTTCAGCCACTCCGCAGGGAAACTGTGCACTCCTGAAGGCCAAAGCATCGGGAAAGGAGGCGTGGTGGAGCTGGAGCAGTGTTCCTAGCCAACAGAGGCCTCTCTGGTTCCTTCCCTTCTCTCTTTGCTCATTGGTTGATATTCCTTTGAGTCTATTTTTTTCAAATTTTATTTTATTTTTAATTAGAGGATAATGACTTTACAATATTGTGATGGCTCTGTCATACACCAACATGAATCAGCCCAAAGTGTGCTTATACCGCTTCCTCTTGAACTTCCCTTCCACTTCCCACCCCACCCACCCTTCTAGGCTGTCACAGAGCACTGGCCCTGGGCTCCGTGTCAAGACTTTGAGTCTATCAGGAGGGTTTGGGTTTGTCCTAAGCAGTTTTATTCATTCTTTCAATATTTAATATTAAGTATTAAAATTCAGCAATACTAAATTGCAACAGCTATGAAGCCAGGCACGTGGTAGTGCTCCTCCAACTCAGGGCAGGGCTGCACAGGCGGAGGGGCCAGCAGGCAGCCCAGCGCGGCGCTCCTCTAGGGGCAGGGGTATGGAAGCGTGCTCGAGGCTGCAGTGACTCAGCGGGGTCTCCAGGACTGAGCACGTTCCCGCACCACTCCTACACTGAAAACACAGACTGTGCCAACGAGTTTTCCAGGATATGACCAACTCCAGAATGGGGGCTGGTGGGACTGCCCTTGGTGGTCCAGTGGCTAAGACTTCACATCCTGCACGCAGAAGGCCCGGGTTCAATCCCTGGTCAGAGAACTAGATCCTGCATGCTGCTATGAAGGTCAGAGATCCCATGTGCCACCACTGACTCAGTGCAGCCAAATAAATAAAGAAAAGATAGGGGCTGCGATCACAGAATTCTGTGTGTATGCTACCTAATACCCATGAAAAACCCTATGATTCATTTCTTTTTATATGTAATTTTATTTTTTTAAAATTTATTTTGGCTGCACCGGGTTTTCACTGTTGCACGTGGGCGTCTCACTGGGGTTGGGGTGGGGCGTCTCGTTGAGGGGTGCAGGCTCTGGGGTTTGGGCCAGCAGAAGTGGTGCACAGGCTTAGCTGCCCTGCAGCATGTGGCATCTTCCTGGACCAGGTGTCAAATCTGTGTCCCTTGCATTGGCAAGTGGATTCATAAACACTGGACCATCAGGGAAGTCCCCTATGATTCATTTCTGTCATTAACCCTGAAATATCCCTCTTCTACCCACCAACTAAGGAAATCGAACAAATTACATGGCCAGAGTCCATTGTGAACAACTTTTATTATACGTTTAGTGTTCTCTATACAAAAGAAATCAGTTTTTTTTTACAGTGATTCAAAAAAAAATTCTGAATAATTTGGCCTTTCCATTGCTCATGCAGTCAGTTTATAAGTCCACATATTAGATGGTCCTCTATGGCCCAGAAGCCTTCCCTGCTGAAGGTTGAGCATGACACCCTCAGATACGCATCTGTCGCTGACAACGTTGGTTAATGCAAAATAACTCAAAAAAAGGAAAGAACATGATGTGAGAGGGGTTAAAACAAGGTGTGCCATGGTGAGTTAAAATATTTAACCAATGGGGAAAAAAGATCAGGCCAATTTGTGGGTGTGTGGGTATGTGGGAAGGGATGGAGACATTTGGAAAAGATTTTCCCGCTGAACGGAACAAACTGGAAAACGTGTGTGCTGGGGAGGCTGCAGGGCCAGAGGCCCCTGGGGCCCAGCGTGGGGGGTGAGGGGCAGGACAGAACGCGGCCACGGCACAGGCGACCGGGGCTCAGTGCAGGGGGGCGCGAGGTTGGCAGAGAGCTGGGAGCCGGGCAGGGGACGACACTGACTGAGGACGCTGAATCTGGGGATCAGAGAGGAGGGCAGGGCAGAGTCGTCTGACCTGCATCCTTTCTGAAAGAGAAACAAGAGACGTGCACAAAATTCTGGATTTCTTCTCCCAGAGTTTTGTGTTTATTGCTTCACTGAAGTCTTTGCATGTGCTGCACTCCAGCCCGGCGGATCCGGGGGCAGAACTTCCATGGCCCTGCTCCCCCGCAGAGCCCTGTGGTCAGGGCGGAGGGGACAGAGCCCGCTGGGCCCCTCTCCCAGGGACGCAGTATGCTGGGGGCCTGATGTGTTACGAGGCAAGAGCTTCGTGGTGACAAACACCAATCAGCTGTTCCCTTTTCTCCTGGCCTGGGTCTCCCCTGAACATCACCACCGGTTGGCACAGACTGACTGATCTGGGACTCAGAAAAATCCTGTGATTTCATTTGTGCAGGTATAAGGGGATATGGGAGAAGTAGAAAAAAATGTGGGCCAGATCTTAAGTAACATCACTGTGTCCAAGGCGGAAACACCGCTGTTTCCAGCTGTGCTGAGATGAAAGAGTACTAGACAAGGAGTCAGAGGGCCCCAGGTCAAGGCCGGACCGCACCTTGGTTTACCAGCTGTGTGACCGAGGACAGTCCCTTCCCCTCTCTGGGTTTTACCACACAATGAGTCATTTCAATCAGATCAGCTCTGTGGTTCCTCTGAAATCTGATCCTGTTTAAGCTAGACACCTTTGTACCTATTTCACTTCCATCCTTATTATGATGAAACCATCATTAATACTAATAGACCGGTAGGGGGCAGTGGTTTTGGCTTGAGACGCCGGTGGTGGGGTCTGGCTTCCCTGGATGGCTGTCATCCTTTTCCATCCCTTCTCAGAACCTGCTCTCAGTAGGGGAGGGAGGGAAGGCCCTGTCCTGGCCTGGGCACAGCCGTAGTGTGGCGTGAACTCCCTCGGGTGGCCCCTGCCTGGCCTAAAGGAGGGGCTGCCCAGGAGTTGGGCTCTGCAAAGGCCACTGACTGTCCTCCCATAATTACAAGTTCTTTGCTTTATTTGTTGACTCCTCTGATTTATTTTAATCAAGGATCTCCCTCTATGCACCTCTTAAGCCCACCACATAGTGATCAACCAGGATCTGCAGGGTGGTTTCTTTTCCCAGGGGCTGAATCACAGCACGGGCTGGGGTGTATGTGGCTGCTTGCGGAGAGACCAAGGCATCACAAACAGGGAGCGTGCGCTGCGTCCTCCCACAGAGATGCCCTCCCCGCCCCCCTGGTGAGAGGCCGGGAAGCCTCCCCTCTTTAGCCCTTAGCGGAGCAGCCTCGCAAAGACTGAGGCGAGGGTAGGAAACTCCTGCTGCTCTCGTCACACGGCTTTTCGGATGCTCTGTGACTTGGCCCTGACCTTGCAAAGGGCTCCAAGAGCCTTGGAGAGCTGCTGGCCGTGCTGTTCCCAGGGAGAACTCCCTCTCCTTTGGATCAGACTCGGTCCTGGGTTTGCCCACAGGAATCGCCCAGACGGGGTCCAGCATGGGCAGCCTCCGACCCCTGCCCCGACAGTTCCAACACACTTCCCCACACAGCCCTTCACATTTCATCTCCGTGTCTGGGAGTGGGCTCAGCCTCTTCAAGACAAGGCCATGCTCTGTGCCGTTTCCTGAAAGCGCTGCCTGGCGATGGGGCCTCGGTCTGCTGCATGTGCATGTCCGAGTGGGTGCCAAGTATGAGCCAGGGAAGCCCTCCCGTGGCTGAAAAAGCCACAAATATCCACGAATCTGTTTCCAGCCCTCTTCTAAGGCTGACTGTGTTCAGGGAAACCATGAAAGTGCTCTCTGGGCTCAGGCCACAGATGTCTCGTGGGGAGAGCATTCCCAACCCGGCAGCCTCTCGGACCGGTGAGCGTTTCTCTAGGCCTCGGGACTTGCTGGGAAGGAGGCCCAGGCGATGGACAGGGGACAAGCACAAACACAACCATTTCCTCAAACGCAAGGCAAGGGGCCAAGGGGCCAGTTCACCACAACCCGGGCCAGGGGGCAGGCGCTGTCCCCCGGCCCTGCGGGGGTGCGCTCCCTAGAGACCGGCACCCGCTCCTTTAGCTGGGCACGTGCCCCTCTGCGGGGACAGGTTTTCAGGGGAGGGTTTTGCCTAGGGGAGACAGAGGCACCGAGATACAATCAGGCAGCCCGCCCCAAGGCGCGGAGCAGAGCAGCCGGGAGGACCATTCCCGTCTGGCCCAGCCTGGGGAAGCAAGCTCTCCCTGCAAGGACCTTCCCTTCGGCCTGCAGCCACTGGTGGCTCGAGCATGCAGAGCCGCCTATCACGAGACTCAGTGCTGAGGCCAGGGGCCGTGGCCGCCAGTTACCACGGTCTCCAGGGCTCAGGCCAGCTGCTCCCGCGCATCTGCGGAGCAGACGGACGGATGGCTGAGAGCACAAGACGCCGTGGCCGAGCCCAGCGGGCGGGTGGGGGCTTAGGCTGGGGATTTCCGGAGCCGGAAACGGTCTTCACTTCCGCCCCCTCCCCTGCCCGTGGCCAGGTGGGTCGAAGCACCAGCGGTGGACCTCTCCTGGCATTGCGGTGGCGATGCTCGGGGTGGCTCTTGAGCACCCCGCTTGGCAGGGAGCGCTGGGCAATACTGCTCTCCGGCTGAGCTGGGTGGGCTCTGGCGCGGGTTGCATGGAAGATGGATGCTCCTCGGCCTAACCCCGCGGCCCACACAGCCCTCTGGGCCCCCGCCTGCCAGGAGGGCAGCGGCCACGCGGTGCGCGCCTCTCCGCACAGCAGCGCGCACGGGGGCTGGCGGCATCGTCCTCACACACAAGGAGGGGCACGCCTGGCAGGACACGGACAGAGCGCAGAGGCAGGCTGAGGGCTCACCGCCCCCGCGACCCTCTGGGCGCAGAACCCCTTCCCCTGGCACGGGTCGTGTGAAGAAGGGCTTTCCTGAGGCAGGGGGACGGTATGACGACAGCTCACCGTCCACCCTGCCTACAGAGCTTGCTTCCAGCGCGAGTGCAGAGCGATGTGGAGGCCTGAGAAACGACTGCTCTGCTCGGAGCCAGAGCGTTTCCTAGAATCCAGCACACAGGCACACCTCCCTGGCATTCCCTGCCCAGGCTCCAGGAATGCCCAGCGGCATCCACGCAGGTGGGGGGTGGAAGCCTGGGGAGGGCACCCCTGAGCTAGCTCCCAGCCCCTACCCGTCACACGGTCCCTCTGACCATGAGAGCCACCTCAGGCCTCCTGCCTGCACACCTCCCGCGGCTCGGGCCAGTGGGTACCTGCCTGCCCATGGGTCCAAACGGCACAGCTGGTGCGGCTCGGGGCTACCTTTTCTTATCTGCACAGTACACGTGTCTAGGGGCTTGACCTTAAACTGACCAGTAAGGGGTGCAAGCATTGCTAATACCTTTGTGGCTTAAAGGTGTGGCAAACGAAGCTTAAATAAGGTCTCTGAAGGACACAGCACTGCTCCTGCCCAGGTGCCCTGGCAAGCAGCCAGAGGCTGCGTCTGCGGCAGGCGGTCCACTCTGGGGGTCAGCTCCACCCTCCTAAAGGCAGCTCTAGCTGCACCAACAGCTGAAGGGCTACTCTTAGGCTCAAGATCTCTCTGTCTGAGGCTGGGTACCTTTGGTTTCAAAATGGAATAGGTGGGGAGGATGAAGGCAGAGCCTTGGGTCTCTGAGAACCGCAGGTCTGCGAGGGTCTCCATCTGGGGCACGTGTTGAGTGGCTGCTTCTGGTTCTGCTGGAACGCTTGCATAGGCCGCCCCACTCTCCTTGAGACAGGTGTCACTGGAGGCTTCAAGGCTTGCAGGGAGGGGCTGGGGACCTGGGAACTGCAGGGACAGCTCAGAGCTGCATAAGGCATACGAAGAGCGCTGCCAGGCTCTCTGCAGCACTGAGTACCGCGGTCCTGCGGGGGCTCCTGATACATGAACACCCTTAGGAACGGACACACAGGCTCAGTCCTGGGGGCAGCCGCACCCCATCCACACACCATAAGACACCAGGTTCACCATCACACAGAGCCGACCGAGGAGAGGCTACCGGCCAGACACCCAAGGGGAGTGCTGCTCCACCCCCAGGCACACCAGCACAGCCTTCGCATCGTGGGGTCTGTCTCCCGGGGGGCAGCAGCACAGACCCTGACCTGGTAGGGGGCAGCACCCACCCTGGATGCGGGGGGCGTGGTCCTCTGCCCCACATCCTGAGTCTCACTGAGGACGAGGAAGGCAGTCCAAACCCAGCCCTTCCCTTCTCTCTCGGGGCGCGAACGGCTCCCCAGGGACCAGACGCCTGGCTTCCCTCTGCTTGAGGTACACGGTCATTGGAGCCAAAGTCCTTCGCCTTGGTGCCCACTCCTGTTCCTCAGACTCCTTCAGTCAGCACAGCTTTTGTCTTGGATGCTCTAGAGCAAGGGGCAGGGTGAGAGTGAGGAGCAAGAGGTAAGCCCACCCCCCCAGCTGAACCAGAGCCAGGCAAGGAGGCCTGACCCCCCTGTCCCTCCCTGCCAAAAATACTGTCGTTTCCCAGAAAGGAGCCAAGCCCAAGCTCAGCAGCTGGCAAGGCTGAGGCGCAGGGGTTGGGGGCCTGGGGAGGCATGTGATGAGAAAGGCATCCGTGGGAAATATGTGGGCCCAGCAGCGGTTTGAATACTATAGGTCTTCTGTACGTTCGCTTACAGAGCAATCCTTTTTGCCTATCTTTGCAGTTTCCTGGGGGAGAATCTGCCTATCGTTTCTTTTTCCAGGGACATTTCTTCAAAAGGAAAAGAAAATGGAGATGTTGGGTCTGCAGGGTGAAGACTCACAGAGCAAAAATAAAGACAACGAGGACTGTAACCAACAGAAAACCGGTGAGTGTGTGTGTGGAGGTCGGGGGCGGGCAGTGTGGCGGAGGCCTGGGGTGACTGTGAGGCTGAGTGAGAGACCGGGGCTCCCTCCAGCGGAGCTGAGCCGAGGCAGCAGCTTGCCCACAGGCGGCACCGGGGGGTCATCGGGAGGGGGCTTGTGGTCGGCCGGGCGGTCGCCGGTCCTCACGGCTTGGCAGCCTCTCGTGCTGTCCCCCCGTCCCTGAAGGTGGCGGCAGCTCTGGGGCAGGTCTGCGGCGGCTCATCTCCCCCTCTCCCCTCCTCCTGCTTGCAGAGCAGCGGCTGTGCCTGCAAGGCTCCGTTAGGCCAGAGAATAGATGGCGTTGACTGGCGACGTGGCCTCCGAGCTCTCGTTGCCCTCCGTCTCCTCCTTGTCCTTCTTGACCGTGTACTGGCCGATGAAGGAGCCGTCCTCGTTGAACTGGCCCTCCCCGCCCTCGCCGTAGTCCACCAGGCTGTCGTCGCTCTCCTGCTGCTTGATGGTGCCGTCCAGGGACGTCTGGCTGCCCTGCAGGGGCTTGTTGTCCTCGTCACTGCCCGGGGAGAGACAGCGGGTCAGAGCCAGCCCACCAGTGCCGCCAAACCCCGCCCGGAAGGGACAGGGCCTCCAGCCTCTCGCCAGGCACTTGCTGCGCAGAGGACCGGGCCCCGGGATGACCCGGCCCCGTCGGCCCTGTCTGGCCCAGTCTGCAGAGGGAAGCTGCGGCCGAGGGAGGACACTTCTCCAGGCAGAGGGGCAGGCCAGTGTGGGGCCGGGGCGGGCCCACACTCCTGGACGCCTGGGCGGGGGTCTTTTCTGAGAGGCTGGGCTGCTGGCTCTCTGGGGTGGAAGCAGGCAGAAGCAGCCACCCCGCCAGGAGGTGGAGGGAACTGCTTGTGGACCGTGGGGACAGGAAGGGTCAAAGAAAGGGGTCAAGGACTCCGAGTTCTGGTCCCAACTGTGTCCTTGAGGCTTTGGGAAAGTCCTTCCTTCTCACTGGGCCCTAGTCCTGCCATCAAGAGCGTTCATCTAGCTCTGACTCTGTGATCTGTGACTCTCCTGGAAAGACTGCCCTTGGCAAGAAGCGAGGGTCCGAGCCTGAGAGACAAACCCCTCCCTGCCTTTCCTCTTCTCTTTCTTGGCGGTGTTACCCTTAGCTGTGGTTTATCCACAAAAAGATGCTGCCATTTCAGGGCTAGCGGATGGAGGCTTGAGGGTGTGTGTATGAGACAGGAGGGCCAGCAATCAGAGACAAAACTAGCCAGGCGCAGAGGACTGTGCCCAGCTCCCTCGGAGGCTCTGCAGGCCCTGCCCTTAAGCTCCTCTCACGCAGAGAGAGCCGGTAGTTACAGTGGCATCTGCCCGCTGGGGTGCCTGCTGTGCCCCCAGGGAGGGAGACACCCCGGGGTGGTGGGCATCTGCTCTGGCACTGCATCCCATCCCCTGAGGCGGGGACCAGGTGCTGCAATTCAGAGAGAGAGGTCCCGGCAGGCTGAGCAGACACCCCGCAGCCCACTCCTCTGCCCCAGGCCACACCTAGCCGTCCCTGCGCTTGGGGCAAGCAACCGTCTGGATGTCACCAGAGTGGAAAGGGAGCTCTTGCCATGGTGCTGGGCAAAGGCAGCTGCCGGGGGCGGGGAGGGCTGCGAACCAGAGCAGAGGAGCTGGGCACCAGCAGGCGGGAAGCTGGCAGCCACCGCCGCCTCGCCGGGCGACAGGGGCCCTGTCTCCTGGCCTAACTGACGGCAGTGCTGCGGGAGGGGCAGCTGAGAGGGAGTGGGTCTCCAGGGTTGAGTTATCTTTGTTCAGGGGGTGAAACTCATGTTTTGAAAACCAGCAGATTCTAATGACCAAGCTCCTCACCCCACCTGCCACTCTGTTTCACAGGCACCCTCTCCCCAGGGCTCCCCACTCCCGCTGCAGGGCCGTGCTGACTGTGTCTGTGTGATTCCTGTGAACTCCACGCCCCCGAGCTGCATGCAGTCATGACAGGCTGGCCCAGTGGGCGTGGGGGCAGTGGGGGACGTCTTCACTGTGTCAGGTTCTGGTGGGGAAACAGGACCTACATCCGGGAAACGACTGTGACCCCTGGTCTAGGCACCCGCTCGCCTCCCTTCCAGAAGACCTCTGAGGACCAGGCAGACAGACCAGGGTGAGCCCGCACCCCAGCCTGTCCTGCCCGGGAACCTGGTTTCTCCTCTAACACATCTGTGTTGGCCCTTCCCAAGTTCTGACTCTTGGACTCATCCAAGTGGGGCTCCAGGATGGATGCTGCAGGCCCCCAGAGCCACAGCCAAGGGTGTGTGTGTGTGTGTGTGTAAGCATGTGTGTGCACGCACCGGTATTTGTGTCTCCAGCCTCAGAGTCAGTGGGGCTGGGGGTGGGAGTGGGGAGGAAGCAGACGCTTTCACCCAGCAACTGTGATGTCTGGGAGGAGAGGTCCCCGAGGAAGCGGCTTTCCCAGCACAGGTCCCTGGGCCCATCCCTCACGCCGCCTCGGGCTGCACTGAGGGTCTGGGGAGAGAAGGTCCAGGCCCTCTGGGACTCATGGCCAGAGAAGGACCCTCGGCCTACGGGGAAGCTGGGCCCCACGAGGGGTGCTGAGGACCGTCGGGGAAGGGCCTCTCACGCTTGCCCTTTGGGAGGCTTATGAGGATGCAGAGAGTGGACAGACAGTCTATAAGCCGCCAGACACTTCCCAGCCTGGGCCTTGGTCCTCTCGTTGGGGACATGGGCGCCAGACCAAACGCAGTCCAAGGCCCATTCCAAGCTGCAGCCCAGAGATTCATTCTAGGTCCTGAGGGAAAAGCCCAGAACACTGTTCCCTGTATCCCTCACCTCCTGAGTCTCAAACATAATACAGCTTCCCCGTGTCGTCACCATTCTCAGGGCTGGAGTGGGGTACAGGCAGATGGGAAGCTGAGAGCAGAGCTCATTTCACAGCAAGAGGGAGCCTGGGGCTTGCTTTCAGAGCAAAAAGGTGGCAACACACATACAAAGAACACAATAAGCCTGAGTTGTGCAGCTGGATGAATAAAACGCGGTTCATCAAGTGAATGTGAGTGTGTTGGGCGGTGCTCCCGTCACAGGCAGAGCTGACAGCAGGATGGGAGGACATCCACGCGGTGGCCTCTGAGCCCAGCTGTCAGCTCTGAGGGCACGAAGGAAAACCCAGCAGACACGGTGCTGTGCGTGAGCAGGAGTGAAGGGGACCGCACACCTGTAATCGAAGGAGCCATCCTCTTCTTTGGGGTCTTCAGGGCCAAGAGGCACATCCTTCTTTTCTCGCACTTGGTCAGGAAGAGAAACAAAGACACAGAGGTGATGACTGGCCCTTAGGTACAGCCAAAGACGTGGCCTCTGGGTTTAATATCTCTTTTCCTCAATACAGCACCACCCATGCCCTCTGGTTCTTGCCTCCTGCATTTAAGCAGGTTCCAAGCTAATTCTGCCGCCTCCTTGCCAACATCTCCACTGACCACTGAAATCTTCCTCGACCTGGCTCGCCTCAACCTCTCCATGAGGTCGTGCCCAAACACCTAATGGACGCCGTCCTTTTCTTGGCAACTTTCTTTTTTGCCACACTGTGTGGCAAGTGAGATCTTAGTGCCCTGAACAGGGATTCAACCCATGCCTCCTGCACTCCTTAGCACAGAGTCCTAACCACTGGATTGCCAGGGAATTCCTTGGCACCTTCTTAATCCTGCTCTGCATTACAATTACTTGTGCACATTTATGACGCCCATAGTAGAATGCCAGTTCTTTTCTTGAGGGTGGGGACTGTGTGTCTCTTCAAAGCTCCTAGGAGAGTGCGCTGGGCAGAGAGGACACACTGCAGATGCCCCTGCAATGGCAGGTGCTCTCCTAACTGGGACCCCACTTGTCTGCGCGACTCCCCTTTCCCACAGCCCTCTGTGAAGGGTCAGCATTCCTCCCAGGCCCTGTCTTGTGCTGTGACCCTCCTATTGCACCAGCTGCACGGTCCTTGACGGAGCGGTCACTTCTTCTAGAACCCCCAGCACAAGGACTGGCACACCGCAGACACTTGGGTGAATGACTATGCTTCTTTTTGAGGTACAAGGCAGGATAATCACCCCTATTTTAGCAGAGGGAAGCTGAGGTCTGGGAAGTGTCACATTAACAGTTAGCAACTAAACAAAGTTTGGAGTGGACTCTGGAGCCCTGGTCTCACAGCTCTTGGTTCATTCATCTTCCTGATGTAAGGAGCTTAACTCTAAGAACTTTCTGAAATGGGCAGAGGAAGGTCCAGAGTTATCTGATCAGTTCTCAGGTGTCCCAGTTCCACCTCGAACAAGGAGTGAGATCAGAAAGGCCGCCTTTCCTCACTCTTTCTTACAGAAGAAAAATAATTCCAACACAGCACAACAAAGTGAAGGAATCACTCACCAATATGCATGCTAAGTGCTAAGTTGCTCAGTCCTGTCCAACTCTTTGCAACCCCATGGACTGTAGCCCACCAGGCTCCTCTGTCCATGGGGATTCTCCAGGCAAGAATACTGGAATGGACTGCCATTTCCCTCTCCATCATTCACCAATAATGAAGTATAATTTCCTGCCGTTCGTGACTTGAAGGAGTCCTTCAAGGAGTCCTTCAGAATCCTAGGGCCTGAGAACACGTGGGCCAGAGGAAGCAAGTAAAACAGAATCTCCTCTCTCTGTGGTGAGTTTCAGGGGATCGTGGAGGACTTGTTCACAGAGGTGGGGAGAAGCCAGCACCTGGATAGCACAGGGTGTGCCTGATGGCAGCTCTGGGGGCAGGGAGCAATCTGATCCTGCAGTCCAGCTGGACTTTCACTCTCAGGGTCATCCATTATCCTGTCTCCTGTCGCCCTCCCCACCCCTCACAGACAGATGGCTTTCTTGCCCCTGTCTGAAGAACAATCAATATTTCCAGAAACAAAAAAGCCAGAGGTGCTTGTCTGTGACCTTGGCTCGTCTGGGCTGGAGGGTCTTCAGGCCACACAACAGAAGCAGCTCTCTGGGACTCAAGGAAAGCCCAAGGCCCTTCAAGGACTGGTGAGGGGTGGGGTTCCTCTCCGTGCAGCCTACCCGCCCCCCGCCCCCCCCGCCTGCTCCTCACGTAGGGCCTCTGCCCCCCCCCCCACGTTGGGGTATTGTGACTGCAACCCCGCGTGCCGTGCGCGCTGCGGGAGCCGAGAGCCCGCTCCACAGCCTCTCCCCTGTGTGTGCCGCTTCCGTCCAGGCCTCTCCTCCCTCCAGTCTCGTTTTCTCATGGTTACAGAAAAGCATCTCTCCTCTCTCCTTCCCTGGGATACAGGATCCTAATGAGATTCTGGCTGAAAAAAGCCAATTACCGAGCAGATGGGTGCTGAATCCAGGGGTGGGAAGGTCACTCTTAATGGGAGCCAGGGTTCCTTCCACCCCCTCTCTGGCTGCCTGGACCGCTCCATCCCCCCACCTCAGGGGAACCTAATTAACTCAAGTGCTTTCTGGCAACTCTAAGATGCACAGAACAGGCAAGAGGACAGTAAATCCCAGCCTGGGGAAGGGCTGTGCTCGCTGAGAGAATGGCGCCCCCCAGCAGGGGCCCGGCGACTCACAGAAGAGCCTGCTGGCCCCGTCACCTGAGCCGGCTCCGCGGACACATCTTACCGGGGTACTTGCCGCCGCGACTCCTCTTGATGAAACAGACGATGAGCAGGATCAGCACCAGCAGGGCGACGGCACACATGAGCCCGATGAACCAGCCCTGGGTGGCGATATCCGCCTGGTTGTTGGTGTAGGCTGCGAGGGAGGCCAGAGGCACACACATGAGGGAGCGGTTCACAAGGCGGCAGGGAAGTGGAAGGCAAAACTGCAGCTAGTTCATGGCCAGGGTCCTCCTGCAGCCTACCGCTCCCACCCGGCAGCCCTCTGGCTCAAACCACCCTGCTCCAGGGACGAAGAGACGGTCATTAAGAAGGCAAGGGCAAAAGGTCAGGAAAGAGGCACAAGGAAGGAGCAGAGGGGACAGAATTAGCAGCAGAAGGCTGAGCAGGTCCTTTGGGAAGAGAACTGTCCTAAGGTTGAGGCACTGGCATTCGTGTAAACACTGGCTGGGCACAGCCTGGTGGGGAAGGAGGGAAGGCCAGTGATTGACTGTGACTCCCTGTGAATGAGGCGGGCTGAGCTGGCGTGCTGCCCCCCCGGGAACGGGGCCGCGGTCACACACACACCCCTGGTGGAGCACCTTCGCAGGCCAGCACACACACTGGGACAGAGATCTGTCCCCGAAGTGGGACCTGGGCGGGGTGCAGTCCAGGGTGCCCCATGCCCCCTCGCGTCTCTCCACCTGCACTGCGGCTAACAGCAAGCACGTCCCCGCACCGGCACCTCAGGTGGGCCAGTGGAGGGGCCGTGCCTTCAGCACACCCCACGCGGAGATCCCTGTGACAGATGGCCCCTTGCCATCCCTGCCTGGACACGGGGAGGCCTGTCTCAAAGCGGGAGACCCCCTCACGACTCCAGGGGCAAGCTGCGTGGGCCTGGAGACCGGAGGCACGTCTGATGGTGTCCTGGAGGACTCACGACTGAGGTCAGAGACGGGAAGGGGTGGGGTGCATAGGAGTCACCTGCCCTCTTCCTGTCTACAGACTGAAGAAAAGATGCAGCCTCCCATGGAAACCACGACTTGGAGGACAGGCAGGATGAGGGACAGAGGAGACCGCAGGGAACCTCCGGGCAGGCAGAGCCAGCGGAACAGCCTCTGGGAGACCCAGACAATGGTGGGAGTGCTGGGACCCACGCAGCCTGAGCCGAGGCTCTGGGACTCCTAGGGGAGAGGCACAGCGACGGGACCCCCAGGTGCACCCCAGAGTCTGCATCATACCATCGTGCGGGGCAGGTATCCAGGTGTGGCCTACCCTTTGCTCTTCATGGGCAAAGAAACTGTCTCTACCATGTTCTCAGCATCCAGCCAAGGACCTTGCATCAAGATGGGTCTCAATGAACAATGAAGACGATGAACAAGACCTTCCCCTCTCTCTGCACTCTGGCTGCCCAGGCACTCCGGGATGGAAAGTTCGATAACAACATGGCCATGACTGCGCTGACCCGGGTGCTGTGGGGGAGGTCCCACCCTTGCGTCCACAGGCTATGTCCCACACAAGATCTGAGAGGTCTTCCCAAGCCCCACATAGGGTCAGATTACCTCCTCACTTCAACCTCCAATGCTTCTCGACACCCTTAGGAAAACCCCTCTATTCCTTATCCTGACCTGCCAGGTTCCATCAGTCCCGTCTCCCACCACCCTGGCCACTCCAGACACCCCGGCCGCTCCGCCCACCCTGGCCACTCCGGCTGACCTAGCCGCTTGCACACCTGCCTCAAGGTCCTCTCCAGCTGATGTTCTGTCTTCAGATGGTGGCCTCAGCAAATGTCATCTCTTCAGAGAGGCTTTCCTGGACCTTCCCAGCTAAGACAAAGCTCTTTCCCACCCAGCCACTCTATCTGCAGGACTGAATCTGCCCTTTTCATAGCACTTATAACAACTGGCTATACTGCTGCTGCTAACAGCTTACACTTCTAAGCACTTCCTATGGGCTGACATGGCTCAAAGCCCTTTCTCACAATTATCTAGTTTAACCCTCACAACAGTCCCATAGGGTGGATTTGTGGTTCAGTCACTAAGTCGTGTCCGACTCTTTGTGACCCCAGCTTCCCTGTCCTCTATCTCCCAGAGCTTGCTCAAACTCGTATCTACTGAGTCAGTGACGCCATCCAACCATCTCATCCTCTGTCATCCCCTCTCCTCAAGAAGAAGCAAGAACTGCAGCCCATGGCCTCCAGAACGAAAAGTACAATCACAGAAAACTAACCAAAATGGATCACAGCCTTGTGTAACTCAATGAAACCATGAGCCATGCTGTGCAGAGCCACCCGAGATGGATGTTTCATGGTGGGAGAGTTCTGACAAAACGTGGTCCACTGGAGAAGGGAATGGCACACCTCTTCAACATTCTTGCCTTGAGAACCCCATGAACAGGCATAAAAGTGGATTTGTACTATTACCCTATTTCACAGGTGAGGCAACTGACTGAGCTGTGACCCCAGGCTGTCCGGTTTGAGTCTGCTCTTCACCACTCCACTCAGAAGGTAAGCTCCTTGGAGGAGGGGCTGTCGGGCTTACTGTCGCCCCCCAGGGCTGGGCCAGAGCCCGGAACACAGGGCGCGCGGTCCCCATCTGCTCCCCGGCTTCCTCCCCGTGGCTCGCCCCCTCGGCCTCTCGGCCTGGTGGGGCTCTGTCCCTCGGGCTCCACGCTGCCCTCCCTTCTGTGTCAGCTGAGTCGAGTGCCAGCACTTGACTCCACCGCCAGCTGCGGGTCCCCTTGGCAGTTACTGCATTCTTCTGCTCTTACAGTGGGCTTTGCTGAGATGCAAACCAGGCCCGTCACAGACGCACGGAGTCAGACTTCGCCAGGACCTCCACGCAGCCTGGTCACCCTTCCGCTCCCCTGGCTGCTCCCCCTCTCGCTCCCGCTGATCCAGCGTGGCCCTCCCCCCCAGTCTGCGTCTTGGTGGGGCGCTCACCTGCTCCACACTGGAGGCCACCGAAGCTTCACAGCCTCTACAACTGTCTCCTTCCATTCCTGACGGGGCTCTCGTCTCTCCTCTCTGCAGGGACCCAACCCCTCACTTCCTTGGTGGCCCAGTCCTGTAGGGATCTCTGAAAACTCTAGCATTTTTCAGTTTCTTCCCCTGTGCTGCCTCTTCCCTTTCTCCGTTAAACACGCTGAAGCTCCCTGCTTTAAGACAACATCTCTGAGGAACCTGCCAGACTCTTCGGCTGTCATGCGCACACTGTCCTCTCACAGGTAAACTCTTCAACCTTCCACCATCATCGCCAATTCCTGCCAGCTCCCTTCTGTGCCCCGACGTGCTGGCCTCAAAGCCCGCTGCACTCAGTGCTCATCCACCATCACCAAGGGCGTCTTTCCCAAACTCATCGCAACACCGGACTCCAACTCTCACCACTCCTCCGGCCATGCCTTTCTAAATGTCTTTCATCTCTCCTTGTCCTTCTAGCCAGTTCCACACTGTAAGCCCAGGGCTTGCTCCTGACATCTCCCTGGATCATCCATCTGCCCCCTGCTTCTGCCAGCACCTTCACAACTCACCTCTAAGGGCTATCGTTTATTCCTTCCAAAACATCTCCCATAGTCATGTTACTACCCAGTTCTAAAGGGTTCCGCTCACCACTGTGTTCGTCAGACTCCAAGGATACAATGATCCATCATGCTGTTATGTTTCTAGAACACTGCAATCAAGTCAGGTGCTCTGATCTTTCCCTTCTGCACCCTCCCCACCCGGCCCCAGAGTGCCTGGACGGCCACCCTTCCTGTCCTTCCCCTTTCCACGTTCGGCCCCCTCCTTCCTGAATCTCCCATTCCTCCAGCTCACAGCAGTCTCTTAAACTCCAATTTCAACCCCATTCACTCTACATGGTGTATCATTTAATTGCTCTGTTTCCTGGGTTCTGATGTCCAAGGATATTACAAAGGATGGAGACCTGGGGATCCTTTGAGCCCCCTTGTCCTTAGCATGACGCTGGTCACCTAACAAGTCATCACTGACTACTTACTGACTACTGACCAATTTAATCCTAATATAACTATGGAGAAGGAAATGGCAACCCACTCCAGCATCCTTGCCTGGGAAACTCCATAGACAGAGGAGCCTGGCAGGCTACAGTCCATGGGGTTGCAAGACTTGGACAAATAAACCACCACCACCACCACCACCACCACTAAGGTTAACATGGGCTATCTCTTTCATTTTCTCTTGAAACCAGTTGAGGGGTCACAAGGATATTGGCTTCACCACATGCCACCTGGGTGCTGGGATGAAGGAGTCACTTCAACTTATGTTTGAACGGTGGTTCCCACTTTTTGCAAAGAAGTTGGTCTGAATGTCTGCAGTAACGTTTGCTCCACTATCTTGCTGACAGCTGTCTCCCATGAGACTCCTTTCTCTTGGGAAAGAAAGGCACAATTCCAGGGAAGGTGGCCATATGAGAAATTCACAAATTAAATAAGCTTTCCATTCCTGATATCACCATGCAAAGTTCAAATGTTACTTTCAGTCCTCACTGAAAAGATCAAAGAATTTTCTGTGACGTTTGGACACACAAGGCTCTTCAAAATCAAGCAGATTTTGTAACTATGTTTGGTGACGGGTGTTAACTAAACTTGTAGTGATAATCATTTTGCATAGATCAAACAATTATGTTGTACACCTAGAACTAATCAATGTCAATGATACACAATAACAAAGAAACAAAAAACCCAGCGGAATCTGGGGTAAGGTGGGCTCAATCAGACTCCACCAAAATGATTTAGTTTCTCAAGAGCCAAGAGAAATTTAGGACACAATCTCACTCACATGACCGCACAGACTCTGAGAGGAGGAGGCATTTTTGCAGGGCTTCAGGGCAGTTGCATTTGTCTGCCAAGACCATTCTTAATCAATCCATTCAACACGTTTCCAGATCTCTAATGGTCACAGTAATAGCAACATCCCAAGATCAGTGGATATCTACATTTACTACCTTTGCCGGAGCTAACGGAACCCAGGGCAGCACCCGTTCACTGAGAACACACAGGTTCTGATGCGTCCTGCTCTGGCCTAGAGGCCACACTTTGTGCACCTTCCACAACCATACTCCACAACCCCGCTCGGAAATGTGTAGTTCACTTGCAAAGCAGACAGTTCCCCTAACCCTTCACGCTAATCAAGAGGAAATTGGTCTGATTGTCGGAGAGAGGCCAGTCACTCAAAGCAGGCAGAAAAATTGTATTTCAGAAATAGGGTGGATGAACAAATATGACAGAGACGGGCTTTCTTCAAATGCAGTTTGGCGGGGCTGCTCTCACTTACACGCCATTTTACACCTTTCCATCTTCACCTCACTCCATCCTGGGTTTCTCCCAGCACAGCAGCAAGAGGCCGACTGCAGGTGGGCCCCCTAATGTCCCTCCTCCCACATCCCTGAGGCCTAAGGCAGTTTGCTGTTTGTCTTGCTGGGTCCATCTGCTCCCCATCCAGCCTGCTCCAGGATGTGAGAGCTGACAGGTCTCTTGGAATCCAGGGTTATGTGCTGGGGCCCCTCAGGTCTCCTTGGCTTCAAAAGTTTCAAGAAAGTGATTAACTTCCCACGTGGGATCTTTCTGGTGAGAGTCAGGGAGCCTGTGAGCATTCCTTGTGGTTTTTTTCTTCTGTTTCCTGCATGAACCACTGTAACATGTCTGAGTCTATGGACAGAAGTGATAGCCTGTGGTTGTCTAAAGACCAGTGGTTGGGCCCCAAGATGGTCATAAACTTGATGAGACACAGGGACCTGGGAGATGACTGTGTGAACTTGGCTCTGTGAACACCCACTCCTTTGTGTGTTTTCAGAGGATCTGGACACACACTCACAGGCACACATGACATTTAGAAAGTAAAAGTATTTTTCTTCTCTATGTGGTTTGCACATAGTCATTTCCAGCCAGCCTGTGAGGAAAGGGAGCAGTAAGTGCCCAGAGCGAGGGTCACGAGCCTGCGTTCTCCAGCTTGCAAGGGGAGGAGGTGGGTACACATGCGAGCGCTGCAGGCCTCACTCACCCCGAAAGCAAGCTACGGGGTCAGCCTCTCCATAGCAACCACAGGAAAGGAGAAATGAACATCTGAGTCAGTGTTCAGAAGTGCATCGTCCATCACTGTTTTTCTTTGCACGGAATGCTGGGACACCAGAGCAGACTGGGACGTCCCTGAGGGCAGGGACTGGCCCTTCCCCTCCGGCTCTTTCTCCCCAACCCGCACCCACAGCCCCCAGCACTGGGCGAAGACAAGAGCTGCAAGCAGGCTAAGCTGGCTTTTGCTGCATTCCCTAGGATGGAACCCTATCATGAGATCTCATCCTTGCTTTCTGCCTCTGAGCTGGACTCAAGTTTGTAATACAGCAAAAGCAAACGCATGCACCGGTGAGCAACAGCTTGGAACCCTGACTGGGTCAGACAGAGTCCAGCCACCTGCTTTAGTCAGTCAACTGTCCAGTCTCCTGGCCTGGCTCCCAGGATGACCTGGCTACTTGCAGACTTCCTGCCCGAGCTGGCCTGGTTAGCCTCAAGCAGGCAGCAGGACTCTGAGGCTCCCTGAGTCTTGGTGTCTTGACGGCATGGACATGCACATGCGCAGAACAGGCAGAGCCACAGGAAGGAGGCCGGGACACCCAGGCCGGGAGGGACCAGGCCAGAAGGGGTGGGGGGGAGGCATTACACACACGGGCTGAGACTCTCGAGATGAAGACACCAGGATCAGCCTCCTCAAGCCAGGTGCAGGAGGAGTGATAGACACATAGGTCCACATTTAGAACTTCACATAAACCATGGTGTGTTCTTTCCTTTCGCCTTGTGTGTAGTAACCTGCACCTGAGCAGGACGTGCCTGAGGGCAGGGACTGGTCCTTTCTTCTCTCTTTCCCCAAACTCATCCTTTCCCCAGGGCTTAGCAAAGCAGCCCCTTGGCCAGCTCGCCCGGCTGATTTTAAAGAGACACACAAACAGACAAGCAAATGCCCTCAGTCTCCAGACTGCCAGCCACCCTGACCAGTAGAGATTTCTGAACCTTGTTTACTGAGCCCCAGTTTCCCTGTTGGTTTGGTACAAATGAAGCAGCTTCTCCATCCACAGCTGAAGCCCTGAAAGATCCAGAGCTCTTCTAGGACTGGAAAGTTTCTCCTCCCCAGTGCAACAAAAGGTCAACTACTTTTAAGCCATGATAAACCTGGGGATAAGCGAAACTAAAACAAAGCTGCAAACAATTCGGGTAACACACTTTGGAGTTTTTAAACAATGGTTGAGTGTTTAAGTGGCAAGGCAACGCCATACATGCCGATCCTTGGTTTGGTTCCTGGGAAGATTCTGGGGTAAAGACCTGGTCCTGTCCCCTAACCCCACATGCAGGAAGCGAGCCTGTGTGAGGCCAGGCCGCACTGCCCCCAGACCCCCCCCCACAGACCACGTTTGTGCTCACCGAGCCCTCGTGGTTGCAGCACAGTGGAGGCCAGGGGGGCCCACCTGTCCTCAGGCTGCATGGCCTCGGTTTCCCCCCGATGCCCCCTCATCCCCACAGGGTCAGACGCGCAGTTTCCTCTCTGCTGGCATGCACCTTTGGCTCATTCTGTCTTTCCGGTAGCAGCAGACTGACACATAAGGAGAGCCGAGCCGCGCCATGCAAGGTGAGGAAGGGGAGGGTGAGCCCTCCTTCCCGGGAGGACAGACAAGCAGGAAGCTGATGAGGAGCACGACATGCCCATGCTTGCCGGGGACGGCCAGGCCAGACCCCTCTCACCTGCACTGGTCATAAAGGTGATGACGGCACTGCTGATGCCCTCGTTGTCCCGGGAATAAATGCGCAACGTGTATGTCATCCCGGGATAGAGGTCTGTCAGCTGTAGGGGCTGGGCCTGGGCCTTAACAGGGACAGTTTTTTTCGTATGGTTGCCTGGGGAACAGAAACCTCAGTCAGCCTAAGGCCAGGCACGGGGAGCTGGAGAGGCGATGCTTAGAGGCCTGGGCGCCTGTCAAAGGTGGAGGCGCGCTGGGGCGCGGGGGCCAGGCCGTCCCGCAGGACACTGCCCCTCGTGAGGCTTTCCGTGCTCGCCACAGGCTGAGGCTCTGAGAACACTAGGACCTGATCCCTTGGGCTCTCAGGGTGTCAGCCAGCGCGCTGCTACCCTGGAGAGGACCGCTCAGCACCCCCAGGGTGGCGGAGGGGAGACGGGCCTCTGCGCCTGGCCCGCACTCCCGGTTTCCCCTCTCGTTTCTCGCTGCATGAGCTCGCACTTCAGAAGTGAGAGCCTGAGTGTCTGGGGGCGGCTGAATGGCGGTCACGGGAAGCACTGAGAACGTACAGCAGTTCTGGGCTCTGTGGGTGTGGCTCGCTCTCCAACCGCAGAGAACCGAGGGTTGGCTGTGTTCGCTCTCAGCGCTTCGGCTGCCCTTCCAGCACAAGTCCAACAGGCCAGCACGGAGGGTCTGAGCCCTCTGGAATGGGGCCTGCACCCAGCTACCCTGACCTCACTCCAGCCTCACAAATATCCAGTAGAGGAGGACCAGCTCAGCTCAAGCTGAGACGTCTGACCCTGGACGGTGTCTCTGACCTGTGGGCAGCTGGCGTCCCTCTGTGAGCAAAGTATAGTTGGGGGTCCAAATGTCCAGGGGAGATGCTAAGAGTACGGGTCCTAATTGCAGGAATCCGCACAGTGGCGAGGGCGAGCTCACTGGGGTGCTGGCAAAACCCTTGTCCCGGGCAGGAGAGGGACGAAGGGCCCTCAGCCAGGCACCTCCCCCGCTGCCGAGCAAGGCAGCCCCGGACCGCCACTGGTGGCTGCAGAAACCCCCTGCTTCACTTCGAATTTGCTCTTCCCATCCCTGCCGCCTGAGCACGTATGGACTTCACTAAGCCACAGTGGAGCAGCCGAAAGGCCTCCCCAAGCCTGGGGGAGTGCCCTGCATCTCTACAACAGCATCTGCACTACCCATGGCAAAGGCTGCCGCCCCACACAGCAATGCTTACTGTCGATGTACTCAACCACAAAGTCAGTTCCGGGCCCGAAATTGTGCTTCCAGGTGATGTTGGCCCATTTACTGTTGGGGAGCACAGTGACGTTCCAGATGGACTGCTCGTCGGGGGCTGGCAGGGGTTAGAAGAGGAGTTAGTGGTGAGGAGGGAGGCAGCACTGGAGACAGACAGACACACACACACATGGGCAGCTGGGACAGGGTAAAGTAGGAAGTGGCGCGCACGGGGCCTGACAGAGCTCCAAGCTGCAGCCTTGGCAGCCAGGCCAGAGGTCGCCATCCAGGCACAAGCAGTACAGTCAGGGGGCCCTGCGTGTGAGGGAGAGCTGGAAACTATGTGTCCACGTAGGTGGGGGTGTGAGTGAAAGAGTGGGTTTGGTCCAGGCCACTGGAGGCCCTGACCAGGGTTCCTTCCCTTTTTAGGTGCCTTGTCACAGATTTGAATGGTGCAGTGAAAAGCCCTGTTAGCCAGGATGCAGATGGGGGGAGGGCGGGTGGAGATGTGCCTCTTTCCCATCAACTACAGACATTCTACAGGAAGGAAAAAGGTATCTTGAAATGCCACTTGAGAGTCATGATGAGATCTGCACAAAGGACAAGGCCAAATGAAAACCTTACTGCGCTTCTGAAGCTGGAGACGGACAGTGGCAAATCACACAGAGCCCCTGGGGTCATTCTTGGTCACCAAGACCCTGAACTCTGTGAAAAATGGCCTCAGACCGTCTAACGGGACTTGGGCCTGAAACCCCAGGGCTCCAAGAGACAGTACGAATCCTTCCTTTCCCTTTCACGGGACCACAGAAGATAACTCCTTCTTGACATCCAATATCTAGAGGTCCAGATACCAGAAGAATCCTGTTCTGTTGGCTTCTTAGCACTGTATCTTTGAGGCCTGATCTCCATGCAACACAGAAGACATTAATTATCTAGTTCCTATGAGCTGGGAGCCACTTTATCAAAGCCATCACACCATCTGAAACCATAGCCTGTGGACAGGAGAATGGCAGTGATCTTCAAATGTAATCATTTTTCAAGCATCCCAGCAGTCTCTGTACCCCATTTCTCAGCAAAGATTTAATAGTGGAGTACTGGCATGAAGCCTTGTATTTCAAAGACTTTACCAGCGTGGCTCCTGCATATTTTATTAGCATGCAAGGGGGCACTGTCACCAACTCACTTGTCAAAAATGAATGGAGTACAGTGGTGATGCATGTATTCATTATCTAACATGTGACTGAGCCTGCAGGGCTGGGGAAACGATAAACCATCTCCTGGTCTTCACTCCAAAAAAGCGCCTTTTCTACTACAACCTTGTCAGCTGCCGGTCGTCCCAGGTGAATGTGATTCATTTTACGTGATGAGCAAGAAAGAGATTCCATTGATGGTGCCAGGCCTTCTCCGCAGGCAGGGCAGAAGGCAGGCTTCTTTACTGATCTGTCAAAGGTTTCCACTGTATCGGCTGCTTTAAGTCAGCCCGAATCCCAGCTCCTTAGAAGCTCATGGCTCTTTCTAGTGGGAGTGAACTGTGATTGGTTATGGTTTAGGGACTTGATATTTTCCCTCCTCAGCTCTGGGCCCTGGAAATAAGCCCAAAGATTTGGGTTTAAACAGTTTGACCACCAATACAACCCTGGCCTAAGGCTGACTGTCTTAAAGGCAATGGAGAGATCAGGGCACTATTAGATAAGGTAAGCAATGGGAAACCAAATGATTTTTTGTGGGAGGTGGAGGAAGGGTCTGCCATCTAGAAATACCAAGATGATGATCATTAAAGAGATGAAAAGCTCAGAGAGAGGCAGCAAGAAGGAAAGCTATCAATGACTATAAAAACAACAAGAATGGAAGGGAAGCAGGGATTGTTCTGTCGACTCCTGAGATGTGAGACTTAAGGGGTATCCCTCGAGATAAAAAACGGAGAACTTAAGGACAAAGTCCCATTTCACCCGGAAAAAAAAAACCGTAGGAACAATCTTATCCTTAGGTTTAAAAAGTGATAAAAATTAACACTCCTCTTGGAAACCCTGTGAAGCAGAGCCCCTGTGCCGCGTGCAGGTGGCCCTGTAAGGACGAGCTCAAAGGGCGGCCCGGGCCCTGCGGCATCTCAGCACAGCTGCGACTCTGCGTGTGCATCCACAGGCTCGTCCTCTGCGGCAGCAGGGCCGACCCTGGCAGAAGGAGCAAGACCCACTCCGTTTTCGTTTTCAGTGCGTCTCTCGTGTGAGCTCAGAGCCTCCAAGTGGGACACACAGGCCCACCTGAAGCCTCACCGTGGCCCCAAAGAACACCCATCACCAAACTGCCAGTGGCAGCTTCTCACAGCCTGGCAGGTTTCTCCTTAGCCAAGTTTTTCCTGCAGAGCAGGCTGTTTACATTTTTGATACTGCAGCTTCAAGCCAAATCAGTTTTCAAGGTCTGAGGAGCATCACGTCAGCTACACATTGCGTGTCTCACGGCTCATACAACTCCATGTAACTGGATTAAAGGAAGGACTCACACGTGCATTAAGCCTCCATCCTCACTCAGGTGCTGAGAGAACAGGGGTGCGGTGAGTGCGGCCCTGGCAGGTGGAAGGACGTGCCCAGGAGAGAGGGGCCTCCAGTCCTGCAGCTGCTGGAGGAGCATTCTGGGTGCTTCCTGCCAGCAGCCCTGCTGCTGCATAGTGCTGACTTCACAGCTAGTCTCTGGGCTCCACAAGCTGGAGGCCCTCCCCTCCGCGGTAATAGGAGTGTTTTATGTCAGTTCTCAGAAGCACTGCTGAGTCCCCGAGGGGTCTCCGCGGGCTGGAAGTACAGAGCTTCCCGGCCTGTCTGCCTAATGCAGGAACAGCACATTGTCTGGGCTCAGCAGGCTAGCCCTGGGATCGATCCTTCCCAGGGGCCCCTAGAAAGCCTGTGGTTTTCCCTCCGTGTATATATCCGGGGGCGTGGGGAATACGAGGGGGGGAGAACAACAGAGCACTCGCCAGCATTTCAGGACTCCTCGGCAGTACCATTTCCTGGAAGCTCTGACCTTATTAAAAAAAAAGCCTATAAACCTGCTTTTCTTTTTTTTTTTTTAAACCTGCTTTTCCAGGAGAGGCTCCAGAGCCGGCTACTCCCGCCTCCCCTGGCTCTGCCGCAAGGCTTGGGCAACACCGCGAGGCCAGGAGGCCTTCGTAGGCCAGTTGGCCGATGTCCGCCCCTCTCCTTCCCCACTCGCCCCCTCTGTAGAGCTCAGCCCTCAGCCGATCCCTCAGTATGGAGCTGGAGGCAGCCCTACCGTCTGACCTGGAGTTCCTGCCTGCGTGGTGTAGCTCTCTGCTGAAGAACAAGGATCTGAGGTTAGGACACGGGGTCTGCGCGGTGGAGACCCCCCCGCCCCCCAAGTGGGGGCAGGGTGCTCTGCGCCTCGAGGCCACCAGCCTGAGAACCCAGTCTCCCCCTCCTGTCTGGGGAGGCCTGTGGACGGAGGGGCGGGGCACGGACGACGGGCAGCACCCGATTCTCGGGCGGAGGGGCGGGGCACGGATGATGGGCAGTACCCGATTCTCGGATCTCAGTCCTGGTGGCGGCGGGACTCTCCGTGGTGGTGGCGGCGGTGGAGGCCGTAGTGGCTGTGGCCTCGGTGGTGGCGGCAGTGGTAGGTACGACAGGTGGGACGGTGGGGACTGTTGTGGCTTCGGTGGTGGCGGCGGTGGCAGGGGCATCGGTACTGCTCACCGTGCCGGGCACACCCACCGTGGTCGGGGGCGACGTGGGAGGCGCTAAGGGGAAATGTAAAATAGCCGCGTCTGGTCGGTCTGGCTGGACACACGGCCCCGCGTGCAAGGCAGGCAGCCCACGGGACAGATGGAGCTGAGTGACCGGAAGGCTCCCCAAGCAGGACAGATGGGTCAGGCAGGTCGCAGTCAAAGAGAACAGGGCCACAGGAAGGGAAGAGAATGAAGCCTGTGCGTTTCATTTTCTTCTCAAGGCCTATGTGGCTCAAAGCACCCAGCATGCACCCAGCCAAGGGCAGTGGTGAAGATGGGACATGAACTGAGTCGCTCAGACCCCAGAGATGACGTGGAGTCCCAGGCCAAGCGCCACCCAGCAGAGGCCAAGCAGCATCACTTGGGTCCAGGCCTGGGGCCTGGGCCTTGAGATGGGCAGCTGGCAGGGCCCTGTCTGCAGGAGCACCAGGAAGCCTGCCATTCCCAACCGTTCACTCCAAAACGACACCTCCTCCTGCCTGCTTGAGTTCTAATACCACCCAAACCCAACGACAGAGAGAGAACCATCCCCACTGTGGGCAAGCCTTGTCCCGTGATTCGTCTTTTCTGCCTCCACCGTCACCCCTTCCCCAGGCTCTCAGCTCTTATTCATTTCCTGCCTCTCTTCCCTTCTTGTCTGCCCAGGGATGGTCCTTTCTACAATTACCCCAACACACCCGGGGGGTGACAGAGAATGAGATGGTTGAATGGCATCACTGAGTCAATGGACATGAGTGAGCAAACTCAGGGAGATAGTAAAGGACAGGGAAGCCTGGCGTGCTGCAGTCCAGGGGGTCACAAAGAGCTGGACATGACTTAGCGACTGAACAACCACCACCCTAACTTGTCATAACTGCCTTTCTCTCTAGGACATGTGGATCCTGGGCCCCACTTCCCCAGCCCACAGTAAATGTAGAAATCCCAAGATGTGAGTGAGGTGCATGTGGGCTGCTTTTTTGCATAAATCTTCAGAGGGCTTCAAATATGCCATAACTCCTACTTTCTCATCTCCCATCCAAAGCTACCCTTTGACAGGGGTCAGCCATAGGGGGTTAAGTCTATCATGACAATGTTTCCACAGACCCTCTTTCTTTCTACAAAGAGTCGTGGATGCTAACAAAGGGCTGGCCTATTACTTTTTTTTTTTTCTTTTTTATTTTTTCTATTACTCTTTAGTTCCAGTATTGCTAACGCTCAGAAGACTGATGGGGAAATCAGAGAGAGCCAGGGATACCTCTCCACCTTACCCTCTAGCTCCTGTGATCTGACCAGTCTACCTTCTGCTAACAGGGCAGAAGGTAGGGTGTCACTCAGCTGATCTGACTCTTTGCAACCCTATGGACTATAGTCTGCCAGGTTCCTCTGTACATGGAATTCTCCAGGCCAGAGTGGGTAGCTGTTCCCTTCTCCGGGGGATCTCCCCAACCCAGGAATCGAACTCAGGTCTCCTGCACTGCAGGCAGATTCTTCACTGACTGAGCCACAAGGGAAACCTAAGAATACTGGAGTGGGTAGCCTATCCCTTATCCAGCGGATCTTCCCAACCCAGGAATCAAACCAGGGTCTCCTGCACTGCAGGCAGATTCTTCACTGACTGAGCCACAAGGGAAACCTAAGAATACTGGAGTGGGTAGCCTATCCCTTATCCAGCGGATCTTCCCAACCCAGGAATCAAACCAGGGTCTCCTGCACTGCAGGCAGATTCTTTACCAACTGAGCTGTCAGGGAAGCCCTTAAGACACAAATAGGTAACTCTAACTTCCAAGCAGGAGAGATATCCTATCTTATCTCAAATCTCCAGAAGTTCTGGAAAATACTCTCCTTACTCCCCAGAAGAGGACTGGAGCAAGAAGGAAACTCTCCTTACTCCCCAGAAGAGGACTGGAGCAAGAAGGAAACCAGAGAGAAAACTGCCAGAAAGCTTCTCTCAAGAGTTAAGAGATCCTAAGCCTTCTCAACAAGAGCCTGACCAACAAAAGCCCTTTTCATTCCCCTGGGCCTCCAATGTTACAAGTGCCCCATAGAAAAGGAGGGACTATTCCCGGGATCCCAGTTGCTTCCCTATTTGTAAGTTCAGATGCATTACTGGGTCTGAGGGTGCTGACCACAGAGGTCACACTGGGCAACTGACCGTGCCCCATGCATTCCAGAGATTCCTGGACAAAGTCAGGACAGATAGCACTACATTCCCCAAGCCCCGGTCAACACGGACATCAGGAAGGCGGGCGTGGGGGGAACATGTGGTGGGAGAAACTCTCCCTCTCACAGTCAGCATTCAAGGATGCGCTTCAGGTGGCCCAGACCTGGAAGGCAAGCCTGGTGCTCTAAGAGGCCAGCCAGCGGGAATCTTCCTGTCCCACTCGCCAAGACAGGCAAACAGACAGATGCACACACAGATACACACATGAGCCTGAGACCCAGAGGGCAAAGGCGAGCTCCCTCCTAGGCCTGGTGCCTGGCAGCTCTATGGCCAGGGACACACATGGGCTTTTTCAGCTGTTCTGAACTGCTGGAAGGAACCATGAGAAGCTATTTTGTCCATCTGGACAGGACCACTCTGATTTGGCTCCTTATCAATAATGTGTTTTCTAATAATTTCAGAAGGCTCACCTTTGCTATGACTACTTAAAAGACATCATCATAAAACTGATACTCGCTCTTAAGTCATTCCCCTCTGTATAGTGTGGAGATGCGGGCTTCCCCACATGCACACAGTGGTTCTGCATTTCAGCCCCTGGAGACTACACACACACTCCCTGTGGGCGCCAGTCCTCCTATAAGCAAAGACACATGCTCAAGCTGACACAGGGCCGACAGGAGGCCCACACGCGGCCCCGGGCACCCCAGCGAGCAGCCCTAGAAACAGAGATGCGGAGAGGGCCAGAACAAGTCCTTCCTGGGCTCCGTGGGGCAGGGACAAGAATGAGAAATGAAGATGTTGCCACAGTCACAACCCGGTCCCTCCGTCCAGAGTGGCAGGAGGAAAGGTTTTCTCTGACAATGGCTACCTAGATGCTTTTCCTTCAGCTCGGCAGCAACAATCAGGCGTTAGCGAGAGGGGCCCAGGAGGAGTGGGAGGAAAGGAATTGCTCCCTAGGCGCCCTCCCAGAGGATGCCCGGCACTGCAGGTGCAGTGGAGGAGGTGCCTTGGCTGGCCGAGGTCGCAGCTGGTGAGTTGGCGCTCTCTCTGGTCCACTGCTAACAGCATCTACTGTCCCAGGGATGGACAGGGCCAGAGAGACTGGGAGGGCAGAGGCAAGAAGGCAAGGTTCTGGGGGAAGGGATGGAAGTCAGTGAGTGGGTTGCCAGAGCCGTGTACAGGTGGGAGGGAAGGGCAGGTTTTCCAGGGAAGCTGCCCAGTGTTCCAGTCTAAGGGGATTCAGATGACTTCAATCCCCGGGGCGGGGTTAGGGTAGCAGATAAAAGGGGAACAAGGCCCAGCAGTGGGGCTCATAGGCAGAGAGGCCCACGGGCTGGACAGATACATTGCTGGGTTAGGAGGTCATCTCCAACCACAGCAGGAACTACAGGCTGCAGAACCAATACGGTCACTGCCCAGCACAGACCACCAGGCTGGAAACTGAGGGACGGAGGTCCAGGCTGGTAACTGAGAGCGACGGAGGGCCAGGGTGGGCCTGGAGGCACAGGACCCCTCCCTGAAGGCAGTGTCAACCCAGGGGGCTGTCTAATGCATCCTGGAAGACGCCCCAGCCAAGGCCAAGGGTTTTCCACCAGAGTTTGGGTGACACCACGCAAGAAATGGAGAAAATTAAGAGACATCATATCTATTATTCATCTTTTGTCGCCCGGAACCCACCATGGAGCTGCTCAGCAAACAGCAGATATGAGTTGAGCCAAACACGAGGGAAGCAGTTTCCAGACATTCCAAGGTGGAAGGCTCGGTCCAGAAGTGTCCACCTGGTGCGCAGGCTACCTTGGCCAAACACAGATGGCCAGAACAGATAGGCAGCAACCCCAAGAGACTGCAGACGTGGGCACAGGAAAGGGATTATCTTTCCTGGGTGAGAGGAACACATCAGTTTGGGGGAAAAATACCCACAACTGGAGAGAAAGAGAGGGAAGGGAGCAGCGGGCTGGAGTCCAGACCACGCTAATGATGGAGACCCTGGGTGCCGTCACCTGGCACCTTCAAGGCTGGGAACAGCCGATGCTACCTGCACAGCTCATTTACCAAGAAGCACACTGCACTTTTACCACTGTGCCCCGCAGAAGCAGAGCCCAGGAAACACGTGACCGACGGGCAGACGCCCCAGCTCCCTCTGCACACCAGGGTGAGCTTGGATCTTTCTTAAACGAGGAGGAGGAAGTAGGGGGTTTGGAACCCATCTGCCTCACACCTGCCACACAAGAGGGGCGTCACAGCCTGGCATGGATCCCACTGAGCAGAGCAGGCTCCCTGCCCCCAGGCCCACCTGCCTCGGGTCCCGGGTCCCAGCATGGGGAGCGGTCTGCGAGCTGTTTGACCAAAGAGCTTCCGGGTGATCTGCGTGGCTCCCTCACTGCCTCTCTCCTTCCGCCTCCACTGAGTGCTTTCGGGACCCCAAGCACCTGCTGGGCCAGCAACAGGGCCACCCCAGGCTGCACGGACGGCCTTCCCCCGGTCTCCAGGCCCAGGACCCCCCTCTGCCTCCCGTCCCAGCAGAGGTGGGAGGCGCTGGCCGTTGGCCTGGGTTATCTGAGGGCAGGGTGGAGGGGGGAGCATGATGACTGCGCGCCACCAGAGGCCTGGCTGGCGGGACCAACGCAAACAGAGGAAGCAGGGTATGCAACAGAAACAGAAGCAACCTACAGAGAGGAGCTGTGCGTGAGGGTTGGGGGCAAACCGGGAAGGTGGGCCCTCCCAAGCCAGCCCTCCGACTGCTCGCCTGGAGCTCAGGCCCCCTGCTGCCTGGAGCCTGAGGCGGCCCCCGGTGCGCTCTGCCTTGAAGGAGGGCGGGGCCGGCAGCCCGGGTCCCTGCCCAGCCCCTCCAGCCTGTGCCAATGCTCCTCGGACCACAGTGTGAGGGGGCTGGGAGCAGGGCCTCGGAGGGCAGGTCACCTCCTGCTCCAACCTGAGCTCCATACCGCCCAGCTCCTCACGGTGTGTCTGCCTCCCAGACCCTGAGAGCGGGGACTGTCCTTAACACCCAAGACTGAGAAGCTGGGTTTCTGCGGGCTGACACGACTCTCAGCCCATGGCATCCTCTGAGACTCCAGGTCGGGGGCGCCTGGCCCATCCCAGGACAGACTCACTGAGCGGAACCCACGGGAGATGGGAGAGCTGGTGCCAAGCCCCATGCAGCATGCAAGGCCAGCATGCACGGCACGTTCGCCCTCGGGTCACCCTTTCAGGGGGTGGCAGCCTGACCCGGAGACAGGAGCCAGCTGCCCCCACCCCCAGAGCACAGCAGGTCACCCAAGGGCTCTGGGCCCGCTGTGCTCTGAGATGACAAGACCGGGCAAGAGACCAGGTGCTCAGAGGAGGCAGCCACTCAGCTCCAGAGAAAGCTGCAGCTCCAGGGAGCAGGTCTGGAGCCTCCGAGTGGGGTCCCTTCCAAGCCAGCCACCTTCGTTACTGAAGGGAGGGGAATGTGTTGGCTGGCTCTCCTCTGGCCCTGCCCTCCACACACAGCCTCCTGCAGAGTCCGGCTTCCCACCCGCTGAAAGGGTGTGTCCCAAGAGCATGCTTTCACCCCAGGCCTCTCCCTCGGTCTGCCCCGCCGGGCTGGCCTCCACCTGCGCTGCCCCATGCCACGCCCGTTACCTCTGCAGTTGGTACAGTACCTGCGGTTGGAGTGGCTTCAGAACACGGCACCCAAGATAGCCAGAGAGGGAGAGGGGGAAAGAACGAGAGGGGAGAGAGAAGAGAGCACAGGTGAAACCACAGGACAAGCAATCGCAGGAGAGAAGGTTCTGGCTCGAACTGACCCAGACAGTGTGGCTGGGCGCTGGCCACAGCCCTGTGGATGCCACCTGGCCGTTAGGGATCGTGTTCAACCCCACGGGGGTCTGCCATGCTCCTACAGAAAACCTTCCTGGGTCTTGGAGCCCTTTCTAACATCTTTGCTTCTACCTCAACTCAAGGACATCTAGGAGGTGGCAGCAGACAGTCCACCTAGAATCCCATGTCTGTTTTGAAGGGTGTGTCCCTCTCTAGCGGGGCTGATTTTTATGAAGGAGCTGGGTGACCCTCGATGGTGCCAGGAACTGAGGGCGTAAGACAGAGGTATATAGGAGGACACCAGTCGCAGGTGAAAGGATGCCTCCTTTATCCCCAGGACAGGCGTTGGGTAGCTGAATCATGCTGGGGTGGAGGGAGATGGAGAATGGGTTTGGTGGGAAGCCGGGGCCTGTGATGGGCCGGAGCGCGGGGCCCTGTCCTGTGTCCTGCTGCCCCCTGGACTGCATGAAAGAGGAAACTCAGCTGCGGACTGAGAGCCTAAAAGGAACTCCTGAATCTGCTGCAAAGCCCTCGGCTGAGTGCGGCTGAGACCCCTCTGTTCTCTTGCCCCCTGGTGCTGAGATCCTTCCCTGCTGGGCAGTGTGGCTTTGTTTATCTGATGTTCTGTGTTGATGGGGGCGGGAAAAGGGAGGGAGAAGAGGCTCTCTCTAGTATCTCCTTGTAGAGTGAAGTAATCAAGGAAGGGCACCAGCCCTTGGCTGACCTTTGGTAACAGGCATGTATCAATCACTTACCCAGTCACCCAGCCCTAATACACTGTCCAAGTACCCGAGAGACTGGAAGGGAGACTGGGGAGGGGGAGTATTGTGTGGCTCACCCCTGGTTTACAGGAGCAGACAGGGACACACGCAGCACCGTCAGCCTTCCCCGGCTTCAGCGGCCTGGCCCCTTGCGCCTCTGCTTCGGTGCTGGCCTGCTGGCCAGGGGAGCAGGGCCGGGGGAGGGACGTGGGACTGCTTGTGGCGCTGAGCTGGGAGCCTGAGGTGAGGCAGCAGGCCTGGAGGCACGACTGCTCTCCTGGGCTGGGAGTGGGCTGCCCAGGAGGCCCCCCCAGGCCAGGCCTGGCCAGCAGACCTCAGCCTTCTGGGGAGAGTGCTGGACACAGTAACCTGTGGTTGGCGTCAGAAATCCTTAACCACATGGCCCCTTCTTTGCAGCCTTCCCCTGTGGACTCAACCCTATCCCCTGCCCCACCACTGCAGTTCCGCCACCTAAACACTGCACTGCTCCTGGTGAATCAGTTGGATCCTCTTGTGGGCATCCCTCCTTCTAGGCTGGGGGCTCATCAGTTTTTATATTCCTGGTTTTTGGCACAGTTGTCCGGCATCTCGGGCAGGGGCTCTTGAACAGCCCACAGTGCCTCTGGGGAAGCAGAGCCCCCACCCCCTCTCACGAGGGTCTGCGGATGATGCCAGGGCTTCCGGAGCCTCTCCTACCCGAGAGCTCCCCAACACCATGAACAGGGGCGCCAGGCGCCCTCTAGTGGACTTCGCGTGCGCGCAGCTCTGAGCCGGGCGCCCTCTAGTGGACATGGCATGCACACGCAGCTCAGGCCCAGGCGTTCGCGGCCGGAAGACGCCCGAGCCTGGGAGAGGAGCTCAGGCGCGCGCTCTCTGTGAAGCTGGCTGGGCAGACGGCTGTTTCCCAGCTCCCTGGCCTCTCCTCGGCCGGACAGCTCACTCCCTCCAGGCCGCCAGGAGGGCCACGTCTCCACCTCGGCCCAGGACGCCGGCAGTCAGCGTCAGTCAGGGCTGGCCCCCATTCCCCTCAGCGCCAGGCACCCTCAGAGGAGAAAGGGCAGCCCCAGGGCCCTCAGCGGCCACCGCCATCACAGCGCTGCCTCCCTCACCTGGCAAACACCTTCCTGCTCTGTGGAGTCTGTGAGCACACTTACTTCCAACGTGCTTTCTCTCGTCCCCTCAGCTCAGCTATGGCTCACACTCTCTTCCCTGTACCCCCAAAGGTGAAACAGCTGGGCAAGTCGAGGCCACGTGGACACCCAGGTCTCACTGCGTCGGTCAGAAGACGTGTCTTCCAGGTCCACTGACGGCACCTACCTGTCAGCACGCAGGCTGGCTTCCCCCTCTCGGGGCCCGCCGGCCCCCGCCATCCCAGGAGGCCAGAGGCCAGCTCAGGGTTTCTCTAGGCATCTGCACTCCCCGGGACCATCCGCCCCGCGGCCGCCGCAGTGCACCTACCTTCATTCGGGGGCGCTGGTGACTCCTCCGTGACTGCTTCCCCTGAGCCCACCTGCGTCCTGGCACTGAGGGAAAAGCGGTAGCGCGACACGGGGTCTGCTCTTTGCACCGTGAACTTGGTCTGATTGGGAGAGAAGTTTTCCACTATCTGCTTTCCTACTTTGGTTCCATTAACTGGAGAGAGACAGGTAAGTGGAATTGAACTTTAGCAATGTTGACCATGGTGGGTTATATATAAACTGCAGCTGGAAGGAGGAAGCCTTCTCGACTCTGCTGGGAAGGGAACCCATGAAACCTGCCCGTGATCTGAAGGACTCGGCCTGGGAGACGTTTCAAAGGCTGAATGTTGGGCCACAACTCCTCTCTGGCTCTTTGATGACGCACCAGGGTTAACACTTTCCCACTGATCTCATTATTGCTAGCTCAACACAAGGTTATGTGGCTGATTCCGAAAGATTCAACTTTTAATCCTCGAGCCTTTTCAACAAGGACAAAACTTGAGTTCCTTTTTTCCTTTCAAACAGAACTAGGGCAAAACCACTAGAGCTTTTCATTGTTAATGCCTCCTTTGTAAAAGGCCTATTCACTATATACCTCAGAGGGGGAAGGTCAGGTCCAGAGATGGATTCAGAATCACATGCAAGCACACAGTTGGCTATTAAAATCCTTAGCAACACAATGCCTGCCCCTTGAGCCTCACATCAAAGCATAACATCACCTACTTTAGAAGACATTTGAAAGTCTTTCAAATGAGTGACACTCCTGTCCCTGCCTGGTGATGCTGAATTCTTAAGGTGAGGTCATCCCAACCCAGGCTCCTGATTGAGCCAATATTCAGTACTGAATATTCAATATTCCATGGCAACTCCACAAACAACTGCTTTACCAAAAACGGCAACTTGTTAAGGTGGCCCCAAGGGGCAGTGTTGTGTGGATCCCTATGCATGTACTATCTGCCCTAGTGGATGGAAGCTCTGTCAGGTAAGAAATGTTCTGTCCTAGACTTGAAGGAGTTAGAGACTCTAAGATTCCTGAGCCTGGGGGTTGAATCCCTCATCAGACCAGAAGTCCCCTTTGCCTCACCGGCTGACTGGAAGCCCCCTGAAGGAGGAGCTGTGACAGGAGAGTGGGGATTGGGTCTCACTTGCCTCCCATAACCCTACAGGAAGCTTTTACCCTGCCCCTTGCATCCCTCCACAATGCCCTGTGTACCCAGAGGCTTTCTACCTTGATTCCTTAGGAAAAGTGGTGAGAATGGGGTTTCTGATTCTCAAGATTATCCAAGAGAAAGAAGGGCAGAACGTACAGGCCACGTATTTGAGAGTATATCCAATCAGGATCCCATTGGGGTGTTCTGGATGATCCCATTCCAGGTTGATTGTCTCCAGGTTGGGCTGCCGGACTCGGAAACGCCTGGGGGCACTGGGTACTTGGGGAAGGAGGACAGAGTGGGGGACATGGCGGGAGAGAAAGGGGTGGGCAGGATGAGGAAAACACAAGAAACAAAGCACAAGTATGAACACACTGACCTCTGGACAACCCCCGTGCTGGATCACTGCTAAGCCACAACCTGGAGGGCTATGAGGTAGCTAGTGCCCACTGCCTCATCCAGAATGGCATTTCCCCACATCTAGGACAAGCATGGCTCAGACTTGGTTTACATGGGGAAGGAGTCAGTCAAGTTCCCCTTTAAAAACTACCCTAAACACAGCACACATTAGGCTCTGATCCCACAAAGAAACCTCCAGGTTGGGCAGAATCATCCTCAGGTAGGAAACCAATTTTAGCCTCTGTTTGGTAACAGAAGCCATGGTTCTCAATCTTCAGACAAGGGTTCTCACCACAGGGTCAAAGTATCAAACCCTGGCCTCTGGGCTGAGAAGAAAGAAACCCACGTTGGAACATGCGGATGGTGCCAGGAACAGGAGCAATGGGGAGAGGCTGGTGATGAAAACCAGACAAGGAGGAAGGGATACAGGAATAAAGAAATAAGGGAGAGGAAACAGAGGAGAGGAAAAAGGAGGAGGGGCAGAAGAATGGGGGAAAATAACACTTAAAAAGGGAGGAAGGAGAAACAGAAGAGGGCAAAGGAAATGCCAAGCTGGTCTGAGGGGCCTGGCAGGAACAGGAGATGGGCAGGGACCTCCCCAGGGGTCCAGCTCCCAGGACCAGGGTGCCCCCTGAAGGGCAGCCTCTAGGTCACAGCGGTGACAGGAGGGAAGGTCCTTGGGGCTGGGGCTGGCGAACCAAGCAGATGCCTCCTGGGAGTCCAAGTGCCTTCTGGGAGTCCAGGTGCCTGAGCCCCCTCAGGATGCTGTGGGTGGGCCCCCTCAGGAGACCATGGGCGGCTCCCGCAGTGCCCTTCGGAGTCTGTGTACACAGCCTGTCCAGAGTCCCATCAGCCGTCTCACAGTCTTGTTCTGACACAGAACTGCCTGTTGGGGCAGCCGCCTTGGGGACAGCACTCCACGGGTACCATCAGTGCGCTGGTCATCGCTCCGTGAGGTCGTGCAGAGGTCAACTTGTGTCAGCCGGGCAGAGCTATGTTGGAGATGCTTGGGGCCACTCGGCCACGCCACCCGCATCCTGCCCTCCCCGGGGAGCGGCAGCTGGACCTACCTCCTTCCGGGGTGGTGAACTCCTTGGTTTCACTGCGAGGCCCATCGCCTCGCCCATTGACCACAACCATCTCCAGCTTGTAGTTACTGTAGGGGAAAAGGCGGGACACCACGCCACGCAAGCGGTCGCCGGGGAAGCCAGCTTGCTGCCTCTTCTGAGACACCCACAGGTTCTTCAGCAAGCTGCTCTCCCTCCAGTAGTAGGCCTTAGGACAGAGGCGGGCTGGTGAGGGCTCGGCCGGGCAGGGTGGGGTTAGTTGTTAGTGGTGCTGCTGGTGGTGACTGGTCTTCCCTTTCCTGGCCACGGGCTCCGAACTGCAAAGGCCCTCAGCAGCCCCACAGAGGGCTGGGGGAGGCACCTGACAGTCCCCAACCATTGGCCACTAGTGCATGGGGACCAATGTCAAACCAAGTAGACTTTTTGGTTTTGATCATTTTCTGAGCCGTGTCGTCTCTCTGGGAACAGGCACGCTGGCCAAACGTACAGCCTAGATGCTCCATCTTGAGAGTTATTTCCAAGCTCGGAATAGGTTGCTCAGGTAGTCTGTACCAAAAGCACAAATTTGAGCCAAGGGCCCAGGCATGGAGAGCTCTTTTCTGTGCTCAAAGACCACATCACCTTGAGTTAGATTTAGTATGGTTTAGATTGGCAGCTGACAGGAGCTGAAAAGTAGCAGGTTACCCCCAGAAGTCTGAATACAAGAAAGGGTTGATTTAGTCCTTTAAAATCAAAAGCTTCCTTTTGATACTGTTTAAAATCCGTTAGGATAGTGACATGTCCAAGCCAATGGGAGACCAGGCTGTGGGATGGCAAGAGCTGGGGTGGGATGGGACAGCCTGTGGAAGGGGGCAGTGCCACAGTCAGAAGTCTGAAGCATGGGGTGTGACGAGCAGTGGAGGGGAAGCCCCAGCATCACCTGAGGCCTCCAAGGACAAGGTAGAGACGAAGTCCAGACTTAAGAAGGGGACCCAAAGAGAGTTTTGGCCAAAAACATCTCCAGGCAAGTAGGTTAAGGGTGCAAGTTGGGGAAGAGCTCATTCAAGTGTATATATCATCTCACTTTCCTTCCTTGGCCTGCCAAATCCATTTCCCTAGAAGAGACTGACTCCCCCTGTGCCACCAATTGTCCATCAGCCAACCCCCAATGACCTATAAGCCACAGAACCCATGTCACCCAGGGTCATAGCCTCTCCAGGAGTTTTAAATAGAGCAACTCATCAGGGAGAGCCTTGCATACCCTGGGTTTTCTCTCCCTTCCCATTCAAAGAGAGAAACATCAGGAAGAGAAGAGGTGGCCAGGGGAAGTCAAGGGCCTTAATAAACTGGAGTTGGCTGTGACAACAGGGAAGGGTTTGTACCCTTGTAGTAGCTCTTCTGGTTAGTTGGGGCTTCATGAAATCAGATTGGGTGAGGCAAGCAGCCCAGAAGGGCCTTTAGAAGAGGGGAGGGGTGTAGCTCAGCGGTGCCTCAACACTGCCTCTGAAGATACATGTGTATCCTCACACAGGGAGTGCAAGCATGTGTTCTGTATGGTCAGTGCAAACCCAGCACCCACCTGCTGAGCAGAATCTCTCAGCACACCTGCTGCAGGAGACACCCTGTGTATCTGTGTTTTTTCTGAGTATATTTTTAACAGCTCACTCTAGACATCGTGTTTTCTGTGTTGGCTGTGCCACATGGCTTGCGGGATCTGAGTTTCCCAGCCAGGCCAAGGAGGTGAAAGTGTGGAGTCCTAACCACTGGACCACCAGGGAACTTCCAGACATCGTCTTCTTAAAGCAACTCTGGGTCCAACCACTATCCCAAGGACCCCTTCCAAACATCTCATGTACCGCGTCTGCTATCCCCTCGCCCTGTTAGGGAGCTGCGAGGTTAGACGGGGCCTGCAGCTGGCTTCCTCACTCGATATTCTCTGAGCTGGCCCTGGACCGTGTCGGAGTAGACGCGGTTCCACTGCAGGCTGATGGCGGTGCTGTTCAGGACTCGGATTTTAACATCAGTGGGTGCAGCCCTGGGATCTGCAACATGTCGGGACAGAGAGCTGGTTATGCAGGTGGGGCTGCCCCCCCTCGACTCCAGAGCTCCCTCCGACTCGCCTGCCCTCGGCTGGCTTGCCCCTTCAGCCCACTCTGGACGCTGGGCACTCCCTCCAGGCCAAGTGGCGTGATGGCACCCCACTGTGGCTGGCCTCCCGCTGGCTTACCAACCTGTTTTCCCTCTAATCCTACCCTCACACTGGAAATAGTCCCCCTTGAGTGGCATTTGTCTCTTGCCAGGGCCCTGCAGGAAACATTGCCTGCAGACTAAAGACGGCCTAGCCTAGTTCAGGAAAAGACTGATTCTGAGACTACCTGCAGAGGGAGGGACACTGCCCCCATAACTGGTTCTGTCCCGTTTTTTCTACTCTGCCCCCAAAGTGGTTCTGCCCTATCCCCTCTAATGTATCGGCTGTGGGGTACACAGGTGCAGTGGAAACGGTGGGGTGGTCCGTGAGTCCGTGGCTAGATGCTGCCTTTTCCATACTTACCCTCCAGAAGCCCCCACCGCCTTCTGTCTGGAAGCGTCTGCCACCATGGAAATGAGGAGCGGGATGGACAGAGGGCCTGCTGATCCCCGCTCCCTATCTCCCGAGGGGGTCCAATCCACAATCACCTTCAGGGAAGCGGGGCACAGGGCCTGACCCTCACTTACTCCTAGCTCACTGTCATGAACCCCACTGGCCCTGCTCATGACCCCAGCACTGGCCCCCGTGAATCCACTCTTCCCCAAGACTCTCCTCCCTCCTTCCTTTGGGTCATTTCATACACCTCCATGGTTTCTTCTCAGATCAGACCCAGATCCACCAGGGTATGGATTACCCTGACCAGGAAGGGCATCACTAACCCTCCTGCCTTGCTCAGCAGCCGTAGGACTGATGTGCTAGGGACAGAGAGGCCCCCACTGCCTGGACAGCCAGGTACACACTTCTGCACATATCCCAGAATCACGCTGATTTCTCCAGCGACAGCCTCCAAAGAACACCTCTTTTTATGCCCAGGGTTGCAGTGGCTGGCCTGGAGTATTCAATCTGGGGAGCTGTGGACTTCAGTCCCTCGAGAATTCCCCTGGGGAACCCAGGAGCAGTCTGGCCTGGCCCTGCTTCCTGTGGGGGTGTCTAGTTATGGCATTTGGGTCAGACGGTCCTCGGGGCTAGCAAGGCCTAGCAGTAAGACAGACCACAAACCTGGGTGCTGTTTTCAAGCCTGGAATTTGCTACTGTGCAGTATGGGTGGGGGTTTCCCTTGCAGGACCCCAGTTTTCCTATTTATAAAGTGAGAGTACTGGACCAGGTGACGACGTTCATTAATTCTAACCAGCATTCAGATGATACCGTCTCTGCTCCCGCCACTGACTGGGGCCTGTCTGCTCCAGGTCACTGCAGGAGACCCCTCTTTCCTGGTAATTGGCTGTCCTCCAGGGTGCTCTTAGAAGACCCAGGGCCCATGGCAAGGTTCCTGGTCTTCAGGGGTGGCCTGGGCAGCCCAGCCGTGGGTGCCCAGGGTGGAGGGAGGGTGGGTACTCACAATCTTCTCCAGAGTAACCGATGACGGTGTCTGGCTCAGGGCCCTTCCCAAAGTCGTTTTCAGCCTGGACTCGGATCTCGTAGGGCACGTAGACGGGGGTCTGCCCCACCACATAGCGGGAGCCCCACACCGTGACATTGTTCCAGGCCTCGCGGGTCTCTCTCCGCCGCCACTTGACGATGTAGCGCAGGTTGGGGCCGAAGGCGGAGGTGGCGTTCATGGGCTGAGTGGGGAGAGATGGCAGGAGTGGTGAGGGTGCTGGCAAGGAGCCCGGGCCACCCCAGCTCACCCTTTTCCCGCGGCAGGCCCCTGTCCCCAGCCTGCCCAACCGTGGCCAGCCCCTTGCAGAGCTGGGGAGAGCCTGCCCCCCACTATGAGTCCCCCGAGCCCGGAGTCCTGTGAAGCTGGCAGCCACAGATCCTCCTCCAAGGCCCCAGGCCCTCTGACATCACAGCCCCCGCCCGGCAGGTACGCAGGCAGGAAAAGCATCACTGTCAACAGGACTCCTTCCAGGGATGGAGCAACCAGAAGCAAAATGTGCATGGTGATGTAACAAACCTCCAAAGCCAGAGAGGAGCGAGTTCTGGCTTAGTCATGGCATGCCTGTTGCCAATGAATCAAAATTCCCGACTTCAGTCCTAGCGAATCCATGCCTCTCTGCCCTACCCTTCTTAAAAGGCTGGAGGTGGGAGCAGGCCTAACTCTGTCTTTGTTCCCCAAGGAACAGGACATGGAACAGGAATGGCTGGTCCAGGAAGCCATTCCCTGGGCACCTGCAATACAGAGCTGAACCACTTCTTGCCAGGTCCTAAAGATGAGCCCTGGCATCTTAAGTCTGGGCTCAGCCCAACTGCTAAGGCTGCTGTAAGACCAGGCCCTCGGCAGACAGTGATGGTCATGATTCCAAACTCTGCATCCGTCTATTTCCATTATGCACAGCAACAGCACAAAAATGTTAAAATTTCAGTGGCTGGGACTTCCCTGGTGGCACAGTGGATAGGAATCCCGGAATTCAAACACACAGGTTTGAACCCTAGCCTGGGAATGTTCCACATGCCATGGAGCAACTAAGCCTGTGTACCACAATTACCGAAGCCTATGTGCCCTGGAGCCTGTGATTCATAACAAGAGAAGCCCCCATGCTACAGCTAGAGAGCAGCCCCTTCTCTCCACAGCTAGAGAAAGCCCTTGCACAGCAATGAAGACCCAGAGCAACCAAAAATAAAACATTTTCAGTGGCTGAATTTGCATCTCAGAAGCAGTTTGGAAAAAAAAAAAACCCACGTCATTTGGAAGCCACATATCCCAGTTTTGGTTTGGAAAATGTGGTCAGGTGAGCCAAGATGGAAGATGAGTTTTTCAATCCTGGTCTGGAGGTCATCTTTGGAGTCCCTCTGTCCATCTTGGACTTAGAGACAGCTGCCACTGGAGGCTCACCGTGAGGCTGGTCTCTCCCCACACCCAACAATCGCCAGTGAGAGGAGCTCAGAACTCACCAAAGCGAGGTACCAGTGTTTAGGCTACATCTTTTCTGGGGACTAATCTAAATCTCTCTCTTCTAAAGAAGTGCTTTGGTCCTGTGGGCCTCAGTCACCTCTGCTCCTGTCTTAAACCTTGCTCTTAGATACTCTCCTGTTTGATTTCTTGATGCCCTCACACCAGGCAGGTAGTCTGAGCCAGACTGCAGCCGGGGGGCCCCAGGGGTGCACAGGGCGAGGGCCCCCAGACTGCCAGGCCAGCATTGCAGGTGGGCTGGAGGGGCTCTCACCGTCCACGTGATCTCCATGTTGTTCTTCCTGCTCCCCTCTCCCTTCACATCGGACGGGTTGGACTCGGGGGCTGGAACCCAAACGGAGACCAGTTCAAACCCGGGGTATGCATCACAGGGCACAGTGAACAGCCTCTCCTCCCCAGCCCACTGGCCCCTCTGTGCTCATCTCTGCATGTTTCAACACCCCGTCCCCTCCGCAGCTGAGCTTGCTCTGCCGCGCTGCTGCACGTATGATGTGCCTTCCTAGCTGAGACTTATAAGGCTTTCCACACTTTAGATGATCAATAGAGTCAATTCAATGTGGATTATCCCCTTTGTGGATTATCCACTAAGTGTGTTTAACACCAGCTTGGTTTCCTGGCATTCAACATTTTGGGGGAGCATCTTTCACCCTCAATGAGCCAGTATGATTTCAGAAATCTAAGCATTTCATTACCCAAGTATGTTAAGAAACCTGATACAACATGAGATTATGTATTTCTACTGCCAACCTTCATAGCTATTCCTTTTAAAGCAGATCATTGAGAATTATTCATAATATTAGTAATAATAAAAATGACAGTTGACATTTATTGTGTGATTACTACATGCATATCACATTAAGGGCCTGAATTGTATTTTCACAACAGCCCCATAGGGAGATGGTGTAATTATTCTCTGGTTCATAGATGAGGAAGCCTGGAGTAGCTTGCCTAAATTCATGTGGCTGGGGACCCGGGGCACTCAGTCTGTACTCGGGTGCCTGGCGTCAGCACCTGCCGTTAGCCCTCAAGCACTCACGTGCTCCGCTGGTTCGGTAGCGCTCAGACGGGAGGCTGGGGTGGCTGCTGCCCACCTCGTTGATGGCGATGACCCGGAACTGGTAATTGACGTAGGGTGACAGCCGGAGCACAGCTGAGTTGACACTGCCCGGGAACTTGGAATGGTCATGCCAGACCCCTGGCTGGAACTGGTCTTCTTCAAACTGGACAACGTAGTCTGAGGAGGCAAGGAAGGCGGGACTGTCTGGGGAGCTGAGTCAGTGAGTTCTTTCCCAAGGTGTGCCCTCGGGGTTCCCAGCAGTGTTGACAGCCTCCCGTGGGGAGACAGAGGCACGTGAACTCCTCCCAAACACAGAACAGGAGACAGACCACGGCCTCCACTCTGTTGACAGTCCAGGGCACATGCCAGGTGAGGAGGCGGCGGGGCCAGAAGCCAGGGCCGGGCCGGCCGCCGAGCTGCACCCTCCTTCTACTGGTCGGCACCGGCCCGTGGCTGACCTGTGATGGGGCTGTTGTTGTCGTCCCCTGGGATCCAGGTCAGCCTCACGCTTCTCTCGGCCAGGTCAGTGAGCTCCAGGTCCCGGGGTCGGTCCGGTCGTCCTGGCGGCAGAGGGAGGGGCCTCTGGAGTCAGAGCTGGCCCGGCCACCGTCCCACAGACAGGACCTGGGCAGGCTGAGCTCACCCCGCAGGGACCAACCCCAGCCTGTGCCGGAGGGTCAGCCTAGGGGCCACCCTGCCCTTGGGGTTCAAAGAAGGACAAAGAGGAAAGATCCCCGAATTCCACCAGCCCCCAAAGAATATCAAGGGGTGCAGGGTGCAGTGAGAATTGGGGCCAACCCACCCCAACCTGTGGGTGTTCTTGGGAGTGGAAGCATTTGGGAAAGGGTCACAGCTTTAGGAAAGAAGTATGGGACTCCTGTGTGTAATTATCTTCTACTGTGTGTGCTGAGGCTCTGAGGGGCAGGAGCCCAGGAGGGTGTCTGGAGAGCTTGCAGGGCAGAGCAGTTACGGGGGTGGGGGGGTGGGACAAACACAGAGGACCAGGCCAGGGAGGAGACAGAAGCTCCGTCTAGAAGCTTCCATGATGGACAGCAGGACAGAGGCCCCCAGCAAGGGTGGGGGCAGCACCTGTGGGGGGCTCCAGTCTCACTGGATTTCTTAAGTGGGTGTGAGCGCCCTCCTGGCAGAGGGATAAAGCCGTCTGGCCACTGACTGGTGAGGGCAGGCGTGTTTCTTTTCTCCCATCCTGGCTCTATGAACCAGCTGTTTCCATAGTGTGGCTGGTAACTGGAAGGATCTGGAACATCAGTCCCAGCAGCCACATTCACATGTGTTGCACACATGTGCACGTGGACTGTAAATGGGTGTGTAACAGCAGATCTGGAGAGGCTGCCCAAAAGATGGGCCTACGGATAACTGGAAGCAAGAGTTCCGAGACCAGCGGAGTGAGAGAACAGACCGCCCCAGGGGAGTGGTGGGCATGGCCAGAGGTGAGGGGTGGGGACGGGACCACAACTGTCTGCCAAAGGGGCGGGGCTAGCAGGGGCTCGGGAGGAGCCGGGCCTCCTGAGAGGGTCAGACTTGGCAGGGGCGGGGCGAGCTGCCCCCTGCCCTGTGCAGAGCACCCCTCTCCTGCAGGGCCCTCCTCCTCCTACGCGCCACCCTCCCAGACACCTCGAGGGCTTGGTGCGAGTCCCGGGGTTAGTACGAATTACCTTTGGGAAGGGCAGCCAAACGGTTAGTTGGAGTAGCCTGATCAGCTGCAAAGGTAAGACGGGTTATCCAGGTTAGCAGGTTATCTGGGGATAAAGGTGCTCTAAGGGCGGGATCAGGAGGCCAGGCTGGAACAGCGGCCCCTGCTCAGCCTCAGCCCCCCGCCCCGTGGAGGGTGCCCCAGCCCTCACAAAGGCCTTCCCGTGCCCCTCCGCAGCCAGGGGCAGGCATGCGGTCTGCTTGCTGTCCTGGTGCGGGCACTGTATCTGGGCCCACTGTTCCCCGGGATGGTGCAGGGATGCACCAAGACAGCAGAGGTGAAGAGACGATGTGCTCTCCTGGGCAGGAGACCACACCCCCGGGTTTGGGATGGCTTCGTATTTACAGTCTGGTTTGGGGGCAAGGGCCCGCCAAGAGGCAGTCATCGGAGGTGCCCGGCACCCTGTGAAATCCCTCCTGGAAAGGCGGGCAGAGAATAAAGCAGCAGCAGGTGTTGGAAGGCCAAACACAGAGCTGGCTTGTTTCAAGGATGGGCAGTTTTAATTGACTTAGTGGTTCAGAGTCAGCTGTAAAGTTGGTAAAAATGACCACAAGAACCCCGTCCATCCCTCTCCCTCTGGCACCCTTCAGTTGAGGATTGAGGCGAGTTAGCCATTCCATTCAGGAGGTAAGGCATCCAGTACAGCCTGTTCTGAGAGGAGCAGCTTCCTAACCCTCAGACCCTCAGATAAGAGGCTCCCCACGCCTGGCTGGCTGGCTGACCGCAGGCGCTGCCCTCAGAGCCACCCCCACTTCTCTGGACAAGGGGAGGTGGGGCGGGCAGCGGCGGGGCAGCAGGCGGCGTTTACCTAGCACGGTCAGGTAGGCTTTGGCCAGGTCCTGGTCCAGCTCGGTGCTGGCGACACACGTGTAGCTGCCCTGGTCCCGCTCGGCCACACCGAAGATGGTCAGGGAGTCTTCCTCCTTCTTCATTCTGCAAAGGAACCGGGAGGGGTTGGAGGAAGGTGGAGGGCAGACAGTGAGGTGGGGAGGTGGGGGTGGCGGGCATTGCCTGTCTGCCTTCTCCCTGGGGCAGGGACAGTGAGTCAGAGCCTCCTAGGGGACGGGGGCTCCATCGCAGTGCTGTGGGAGGGGCTGGGTCTTCCCGTCACCCTGAGCACTCGTGGTATTGACGGAGGGGATAGGAACACGGGCGGTGCTAGAGCGACCCCCTCCATATTCACCATGCTCGAATCCCCCCGGGTCCGCTGCGCTCCCCTCCTGAATTAGGGCGCAGCTGGGCCCACCCCTGAAGGCAGGTCTTCTCAAGCTTTCAGCTCTGTCTCAACCCAGAGTGATGCCTGCACTCAGCCCAGTTCCCTAGGCTCCCCTGAACTGTCTCCAGAGAGTCCTGAGTGTCAGCAAACCTGTGCCTGCTGTAGGGTTATGCCCCTCCAGGAAACCAGATGATCAGCAGACCCAGCTAGTACCCACGTGCACCCTGCCCCGAGACCGAAGCTGGTACAGAAGAGAGCCTGAGGGGAGGCTCAGATCAACGTTCTCAGCCCCAGCTGCATATTCCCAACACCCGGGGGACTTCAAACACCATCTAGGCCTGGGCCCACCCTCAACTCTAATCAGATCCAAATCTGGCTGAGGGAGAGGACAGGCGTGGGCCCAGGGTGCAGTAAGGGCGACCCAACTAACCACAGGGTCAGAGCCTGCTCAGGCAGCCCCACGCTCTGTCGGGGGATGCGGCACTGCTGGCTGGGCTGAAACGAGGCAGGGGGCGTCTGGCCTGGACGCCAAAGAGGAGCAAGGAGGGGCCGAAGGACAGAGAAGTGAGTGCAGATGGAGAGAGAAGAGAAAGGAGGGAAGGAGGGGAGAAGAGGCGGGGGAAGAGGAGAGAGGAGCAGGGCGCTGAGCGGAGAGAGGGCAGGCACTGGAGGGGGTCTCTCCCCTGAGGTTCCCAGAACCCTCTTCAGCGGTTCTGCAGCGACACACGGACACGGGAGCCCCGGGTGCGTCCACGCATCACCAGGAGCAGGGAGGAGGCAGGGCCCCAGAGAGCAGCAGCGGGGAGGCAGGAGTGGAGACCTGTTGCTGATGTAGAGCGGCTCATCGTCCTTCAGCCAGGAGACCGCGAGCTTCAGGGAGGGGTCGTGCTTCACACGGCACTCCAGCTGCACCGTGGTGCCCCTCTTGGCAACCTGGTCCTCGGGCATCCGGTAGATCCTCGTGGGGTCTGCAGAGAAGTGCCTGAGCTCAAGCTCCTCTCTGCCACGCCCCACCCCAGAGTGGCCACGGGGTGACACGTATGACCAGCTTACATGGACCGTGGAGGGTGGCAGAAATAGGATTCAGTTAGGTGAACTGGTCAGGGAGGCCTGGAATAGGAGATCCCTGATGGAAATAATGCCCAGGTCTTTTCTTGCTGGCTCAGCAACACAGGAAGTAGTTTCTGGGGTGGTGGTGGGGAGCTGGTGTGGGAAGCAGGCATCCCTGCACAGGGCAGGTAATGACTCAGTGCGTGTAGCACCCAGGCCAGCTGGGGGCCCTGAGGGAGGTCCCACTAGGGATTAAATCCCACTAGGGATTAAGGGTGGTGTGTTTTCAAAGGGACACACACGGGTAACTTTGAGGAGATGGCATCCTCAAAGTTAAAGGTCCCCCCCACCCACCCATTGTGCCCTCTACCTAGCGACCCTCTCCTTTTACCTTTGACCTCGAGGCGGACCTGGTTCTCCGCTTTGCCCAGGATGTTGGTGGCAACACAGGTGTAGATGCCCTGGTCCTCTTTTCGGATCATCTTGATTTCCAAACTGCCGTTCTCATAGACGTGGTAGTTGCCACCATCCAGGTTGCTTCCTTGTCCATTCTTAAACCTCACAACAGAGCAGCAGGACACACAGCATACTGAGAAAGGACCAGCCCAGGGGGGAAGGGACCCCAAACCCATGGGTCTGCCCCCACCCATAGCTGGCCTTGGCAAGTCTCTGGCCTCAGTTTCCTTCTTTGCACAATAAGAGGCCTGACCCAGATGCTCTGCCAGCTTCATCTCCGCTTCCACCCTTTGTGTCTCCCAGGACTTGCTGAACCCCTCTCATGGGCTGAATGCTATGAGAGAGGTGAGACAGACGCCCTCATCGGGGAAGCCTGGTCTCCCGGAACTTACCATCGGAGCGTAGGGATGGGAGACCCAAAGAACGGGCAGTCCAGCCGGGTCCGGTTGTACAGGATCACCCTGATGAGCTGGTTCCGGGGTGACAGCATCCGAGGCGGCACGTCTGCAACCCCAGAGACCTAACCCTGATCTCGGGCGGGGGTCTGCCTTCCTCTGCGACCCCAGAGACCTAACCCTGACCTTGGGTGGGGTCTGCCTTCCTCTCCCTCCTTGGGGACCAGTCTTATCTCCATGTGCCTTCTCCTTGGGGCAGCTTTCTAAATACCAGCGTGACTTCCCCCATCAACCTCCCTCCCGGATTAGGTGAGGAAGGAGGAAGCTTATCCATCTGCACCTAGTCTACATCCAGTCCCAATTTTGCAGAGGATGCCTCCAGCCTTCCAGCAGCTTCGGTATCCGCCCCTCCACAGCCCCAAGGCTTCTCCTGGTTGCACCTGCCCACTGTGCTCTGCCTGCTCCAGGAGGGCCACAAACACACGTAGGGTAGTTCCTACCCTGAGGCCACGGAGAACCCAGGGGAGACTCAACATGGACACACCAAGAAAGTGAGACTGTCCCCCCTCTTGCCAGGGGAGGAAGGGGACGGAGACTGGCGTCTCAGCTCTCCATTCGTCCTCTGAGTGGAATGAACTGTCCGCACACCCAGCTCTGTAGATTTGAAGTCCTCCATCACCCCTCCTCATTTCATCCTGGGTCTCCACACTTCCCCACCCTGCTGCCCTTCTCCCCCCAGCCTGACCGATCTCTCAGGCAATGAGGGAGCCCACGCTCCGAGCAGGGCCCAGGAGGCCCCTGTGGCAGGCGGGGCGGGCACACTCACCCAGCACGCTGACGAAGGCGTTGGCCAGCAGGTAGCCGTGCTCGTTGGAGGTGTTGCACTGGTACACGGCCCGGCTGCTGATCTGCGTGTCACGGAAGATGATGGTGTCCCCGGCCACTTCACGGTTGGGGTTGGGCGGTGCCGCTACAGACAGGAAGGTGCTCCTCGTAAGATGGGGAGGGCGGGCAGAGGGCGTGTGGGACTTGGGCCATGGCTCCCTGGTAGGATTGAGCCTAGCAAGAGTTTATTTCTCAATCCGTCCAATGGGAACAGGAATCCCGGTCAAAGCTATGTGGCAGCTGGGCAGCTGTGGTTTGAATTCTAACCACATTACCCGCCGGCCCTATTCAATGGCTCAAACGCTTCAGTCCCCTTGTCTGGGGATAACATATCACCCTGCGGCATTTCTATGAGGATGACTGGAGAGTCTATGCCTGTCATTAGAAGAGGCCTGAGCACATATGGTTGGAGGGCTGACTATGGTTGCTGTTATCATTTTAACCCAATGTGCATATACTCAAAAGTGTTTTGAAAAGCATAAAGCAATATACAACTAGGTGGGACCTACCCGCTTCCCATCCTCTGAGCAGAGCACTCTGCAGACGTCCACAAAGTTAAACCTGGAGGTGGACACCTGCTGAAAGTTGACGGGTCCCTGCATTTGCCAAAGTGACCTGACCTTCCCAAGACTGAGAAGACTGCCAAGACTGAGCACTGACAGGACATCCCACGCCGCATTCTCCTGGCCCCACTGGCTGCAGATGCAGAGAGCGGAGCTGGGGAGTCGCTTCAGGCACGTCCAACTCTTTGCAACCCTATGGACTGTAGCCCGCCAGGCTCCTCTGTCCATGGGATTCTTCAGGCAACAATACTGGAGTGGTTGCCACACCCTCCGCCAGGGGATCTTCCCAACCCAGGGATTGAACCCGCATCTCTTATGTCTCCTGAACTGGCAGGGGGGTTCTTTATGCTACCTGGGAAGCCCAAATCACTCTAAGAGTTGGGGCAAATCAGTAACCCCTCCAGGCCTCACTTCCTTCACCTGTTAAGTAGGGAAGCATTACTTCCATCTTCCCCTACTCTTAGGAAGGGTGGGGTAAGACAGCAAGAATGAGATAGTGAGCAGTACAAGTTTTCCAGAAATGTAAAGAATCCACACTTTTCTTATCTTTCACCAGCACGAGGTGCCTCTCCTCTGTAAGGTTTAGGACCTGGGCCAGATGACTTGACTTGTGTGTTCTATGACCTCACCTAGGATCACTCAGACTTTCCACAGGAGTTGGCAGAGGGGAACCCACGGCCTGGCCCCACGGGCGCCACCCCACAGACAGAAGGTCTGAGCCTGGAGATACGGAATCAGCCGGTGAACAAAGCTGAGGTCAGCATCCTTAGCCTCCTTCCAGTGTCTCAGCAAAAAGGCACAAGGGAAGCAACGCCAGCAACTTTACGTCTCCTCGCCTGGCAAGGCGACCAGCGCTTCTCCCAGTCACTCTTTTGAATGACGGGGACCTCCCCAGGGCCAGGGCTCAGCTGCAAATCTCGGGCTCTGCATTTCTTTAATGTTGCTGTGGAGTTTCGAACCTTTGTCTGCCTTATCCCCCAAGTGCCACCAGGACAGGGAGAAGGGCAGAGGACAGGCCAAATCAGTAAGTGGCTGTATGCAGGGGGAGGCTATTTCCCAAGATAACTAGAGGCTCAGCACCAAACAGGGAACGCTGAGGCACTGTCAAGCAGCCCCCAGCTCCCCCGGTCCTGAGCCATGTGACCTCGGGGCGGTCACTGCAAAGGCGGCACTTCATTTCCTCATCTTCAACATCTGAGGTTAACAAGGTAAGAGGGATGCTCTGCGCCTGGCACACAATAAAGGTCTAGAAAGGTGCATTCATGCCTTCTCCTCTGCCTGTCTCCCTACCTCTCCACCTGCTTCTATCAGCTGTTGCTCACGAGTTAGGCTCTGAGTTCTTACCATCTACTTTCTGTCCCATCTGGTTGATAATACAGTTTGTATTTGCTCTGACCCTTTAGAGAAAGTAAGGACAGGACATTTAAAATGTAAAGCAGGGCTTCCCCAGCAGTGGAGAATGGTAAACAATCCACCTGCCAATGCAGAAGACACAGGTTCGATCCCTGGCCTGGGAAGATCCTACATGCCACGGAGCAACTAAGCCTGAGTGGCAAACTATTCAGCCTGCGCCCTGGAGTCTGGGGGCTGCAACTACTGAGCTTGTGCCCAGAGCCCGAGCTCCACAAGGAGAGAGGCCACTACAGTGAGAGGCCCGCACGCCGCAGCTAGAGAGCGGCCCCTGCTCACCACAGCCAGAGAGGAGGCCACAGTCACCACAGCCAGAGAGGGGTCCACAGTCACCACAGCCAGAGAGGGGCCCACAGTCACCACAGCCAGAGAGGGGCCCACAGTCACCACAGCCAGAGAGGGGCCCACAGTCACCACAGCCAGAGAGGGGCCCACAGTCACCACAGCCAGAGAGGGGCCCACAGTCACCACAGCCAGAGAGGGGCCCACAGTCACCACAGCCAGAGAGGGGCCCACAGTCACCACAGCCAGAGAGGGGCCCACAGTCACCACAGCCAGAGAGGGGCCCACAGTCACCACAGCCAGAGAGGGGCCCACAGTCACCACAGCCAGAGAGGGGCCCACAGTCACCACAGCCAGAGAGGGGCCCACAGTCACCACAGCCAGAGAGAAGCCCCACTCACCACAGCCAGAGAGGGGCCACAGTCACCACAGCCAGAGAGGGGCCCACAGTCACCACAGCCAGAGAGGGGCCCACAGTCACCACAGCCAGAGAGGGGCCCACAGTCACCACAGCCAGAGAGGGGCCCACAGTCACCACAGCCAGAGAGGAGCCCACAGTCACCACAGCCAGAGAGGGGCCCACAGTCACCACAGCCAGAGAGGGGCCCACAGTCACCACAGCCAGAGAGGGGCCCACAGTCACCACAGCCAGAGAGGGGCCACAGTCACCACAGCCAGAGAGGGGCCCACAGTCACCACAGCTAGAGCGGAGCCCCACTCACCACAGCCAGAGAGGGGCCCACAGTCACCACAGCCAGAGAGGGGCCCACAGTCACCATAGCCAGAGAGGAGCCCACAGTCACCACAGCCAGAGAGGAGCCCACAGTCACCACAGCCAGATAGGGGCCCACAGTCACCACAGCCAGAGAGGGGCCCACAGTCACCACAGCCAGAGAGGGGCCCACAGTCACCACAGCCAGAGAGGGGCCCACAGTCACCACAGCCAGAGGGGGGCCCACAGTCACCACAGCCAGAGAGGGGCCCACAGTCACCACAGCCAGATAGGGGCCCACAGTCACCACAGCCAGAGAGGGGCCCACAGTCACCACAGCCAGAGAGGGGCCCACAGTCACCACAGCCAGAGAGAAGCCCCACTCACCACAGCCAGAGAGGGGCCACAGTCACCACAGCCAGAGAGGGGCCCACAGTCACCACAGCCAGAGAGGGGCCCACAGTCACCACAGCCAGAGAGGGGCCCACAGTCACCACAGCCAGAGAGGGGCCCACAGTCACCACAGCCAGATAGGGGCCCACAGTCACCACAGCCAGATAGGGGCCCACAGTCACCACAGCCAGAGAGGGGCCCACAGTCACCACAGCCAGAGAGGGGCCCACAGTCACCACAGCCAGAGAGAAGCCCCACTCACCACAGCCAGAGAGGGGCCACAGTCACCACAGCCAGAGAGGGGCCCACAGTCACCACAGCCAGAGAGGGGCCCACAGTCACCACAGCCAGAGAGGGGCCCACAGTCACCACAGCCAGAGAGGGGCCCACAGTCACCACAGCCAGAGAGGAGCCCACAGTCACCACAGCCAGAGAGGGGCCCACAGTCACCACAGCCAGAGAGGGGCCCACAGTCACCACAGCCAGAGAGGGGCCCACAGTCACCACAGCCAGAGAGGGGCCACAGTCACCACAGCCAGAGAGGGGCCCACAGTCACCACAGCTAGAGCGGAGCCCCACTCACCACAGCCAGAGAGGGGCCCACAGTCACCACAGCCAGAGAGGGGCCCACAGTCACCATAGCCAGAGAGGAGCCCACAGTCACCACAGCCAGAGAGGAGCCCACAGTCACCACAGCCAGATAGGGGCCCACAGTCACCACAGCCAGAGAGGGGCCCACAGTCACCACAGCCAGAGAGGGGCCCACAGTCACCACAGCCAGAGAGGGGCCCACAGTCAACACAGCCAGAGGGGGGCCCACAGTCACCACAGCCAGAGAGGGGCCCACAGTCACCATAGCCAGAGAGGAGCCCACAGTCACCACAGCCAGAGAGGGGCCCACAGTCACCACAGCCAGAGAGGGGCCCACAGTCACCACAGCTAGATAGGGGCCCACAGTCACCACAGCCAGAGAGGGGCCCACAGTCACCACAGCCAGAGAGGGGCCCACAGTCACCACAGCCAGAGAGGGGCCCACAGTCACCACAGCCAGAGAGGGGCCCACAGTCACCACAGCCAGAGAGGGGCCCACAGTCACCACAGCCAGAGAGGGGCCCACAGTCACCATAGCCAGAGAGGGGCCCACAGTCACCACAGCTAGAGAGGAGCCCACAGTCACCACAGCCAGAGAGGGGCCCACAGTCACCACAGCCAGAGAGGGGCCCACAGTCACCACAGCCAGAGAGGGGCCCACAGTCACCACAGCCAGAGAGGGGCCCACAGTCACCACAGCCAGAGAGGGGCCCACAGTCACCACAGCCAGAGAGAAGCCCCACTCACCACAGCCAGAGAGGGGCCACAGTCACCACAGCCAGAGAGGGGCCCACAGTCACCACAGCTAGATAGGGGCCCACAGTCACCACAGCCAGAGAGGGGCCCACAGTCACCACAGCCAGAGAGGGGCCCACAGTCACCACAGCCAGAGAGAAGCCCCACTCACCACAGCCAGAGAGGGGCCACAGTCACCACAGCCAGAGAGGGGCCCACAGTCACCACAGCTAGAGCGGAGCCCCACTCACCACAGCCAGAGAGGAGCCCACAGTCACCACAGCCAGAGAGGGGCCCACAGTCACCACAGCCAGAGGGCCCCACAGTCACCACAGCCAGAGATGGGCCCACAGTCACCACAGCCAGAGAGGGGCCCACCGTCACCACAGCCAGAGAGGGGCCCACCGTCACCACAGCCAGAGGGGCCCACAGTCACCACAGCCAGAGAGGGGCCCACAGTCACCACAGCCAGAGAGGGGCCCACAGTCACCACAGCCAGAGAGGGGCCCACAGTCACCACAGCCAGAGGGGGGCCCACAGTCACCACAGCCAGAGAGGGGCCCACAGTCACCATAGCCAGAGAGGAGCCCACAGTCACCACAGCCAGAGAGGGGCCCACAGTCACCACAGCCAGAGAGGGGCCCACAGTCACCACAGCTAGATAGGGGCCCACAGTCACCACAGCCAGAGAGGGGCCCACAGTTACCACAGCCAGAGAGGGGCCCACAGTCACCACAGCCAGAGAGGGGCCCACAGTCACCACAGCCAGAGAGGGGCCCACAGTCACCACAGCCAGAGAGGGGCCCACAGTCACCACAGCCAGAGAGGGGCCCACAGTCACCATAGCCAGAGAGGGGCCCACAGTCACCACAGCTAGAGAGGAGCCCACAGTCACCACAGCCAGAGAGGGGCCCACAGTCACCACAGCCAGAGAGGGGCCCACAGTCACCACAGCCAGAGAGGGGCCCACAGTCACCACAGCCAGAGAGGGGCCCACAGTCACCACAGCCAGAGAGAAGCCCCACTCACCACAGCCAGAGAGGGGCCACAGTCACCACAGCCAGAGAGGGGCCCACAGTCACCACAGCTAGATAGGGGCCCACAGTCACCACAGCCAGAGAGGGGCCCACAGTCACCACAGCCAGAGAGGGGCCCACAGTCACCACAGCCAGAGAGAAGCCCCACTCACCACAGCCAGAGAGGGGCCACAGTCACCACAGCCAGAGAGGGGCCCACAGTCACCACAGCTAGAGCGGAGCCCCACTCACCACAGCCAGAGAGGAGCCCACAGTCACCACAGCCAGAGAGGGGCCCACAGTCACCACAGCCAGAGGGCCCCACAGTCACCACAGCCAGAGATGGGCCCACAGTCACCACAGCCAGAGAGGGGCCCACCGTCACCACAGCCAGAGAGGGGCCCACCGTCACCACAGCCAGAGGGGCCCACAGTCACCACAGCCAGAGAGGGGCCCACAGTCACCACAGCCAGAGAGGGGCCCACAGTCAACACAGCTAGAGAGAAGCCCCACTCACCACAGCCAGAGAGGGGCCACAGTCACCACAGCCAGAGAGGGGCCCACAGTCACCACAGCTAGAGCGGAGCCCCACTCACCACAGCCAGAGAGGGGCCCACAGTCACCATAGCCAGAGAGGGGCCCACAGTCAACACAGCTAGAGAGAAGCCCCACTCACCACAGCCAGAGAGGGGCCCACAGTCACCATAGCCAGAGAGGGGCCCACAGTCAACACAGCTAGAGAGAAGCCCCACTCACCACAGCCAGAGAGGGGCCCACAGTCACCACAGCCAGAGAGGGGCCCACAGTCACCACAGCCAGAGAGGGGCCCACAGTCAACACAGCTAGAGAGAAGCCCCACTCACCACAGCCAGAGAGGGGCCCACAGTCACCACAGCCAGAGAGGGGCCCACAGTCACCACAGCCAGAGAGAAGCCCCACTCACCACAGACAGAGAGGGGCCCACAGTCACCACAGCTAGAGAGAAGCCCCACTCACCACAGACAGAGAGGGGTCCACAGTCACCACAGCCAGAGAGGGGCCCACAGTCACTACAGCCAGAGAGGGGTCCACAGTCACCACAGCTAGAGAGGAGCCCCACTCACCACAGCTAGAGAGAAGCCCCACTCACCACAGCTAGAGAGGAGTCCATAGTCACCACAGCCAGAGAGGAGCCCACAGTCACCACAGCTAGAGAGGAGTCCCACTCACCACAGCTCAGAGGAGTCCCCACTCACCACAGCTAGAGAGGAGCCCATAGTCACCACAGCTAGAGAGGAGTCCCCACTCACCAGAGCTAGAGGGGGGCCCACAGTCACCACAGCTAGAGAGGAGCCCCACTCACCACAGCTAGAGAGGAGCCCATAGTCACCACAGCAAGAGAGGAGCCCATAGTCACCACAGCGAGTGAGGAGCCCCCACTCACCACAGCTAGAGAGGGGCCCAGAGTCACCACAGCTAGAGAGGAGCCCCACTCACCACAGCTAGAGAGAAGCCCCACTCACCACAGCTAGAGAGGAGCCCATAGTCACCACAGCCAGAGAGGAGCCCACAGTCACCGCAGCTAGAGAGGAGCCCATAGTCACCACAGCCAGAGAGGAGCCCACAGTTACCACAGCGAGTGAGGAGCCCCCACTCACCACAGCTAGAGAGGGGCCCACAGTCACCACAGCTAGAGGGGGGCCCACAGTCACCACAGCTAGAGGGGGGCCGACACTCACCACAGCTAGAGGGGGGCCCACAGTCACCAGAGCTAGAGGGGGGCCCACAGTCACCACAGCTAGAGGGGGGCCCACAGTCACCAGAGCTAGAGGGGGGCCCACAGTCACCACAGCTAGAGAGGAGCCCCCACTCACCACAGCTAGAGAGGAGCCCACAGTCACCACAGCTAGAGAGGGGCCCACAGTCACCACAGCTAGAGGAGGGCCCACAGTCACCACAGCTAGAGAGGGGCCCACAGTCACCACAGCTAGAGGGGGGCCCACAGTCACCACAGCTAGAGAGGGGTCCACAGTCACCACAGCTAGAGAGGAGCCCCCACTCACCACAGCTAGAGAGGGGTCCACAGTCACCACAGCTAGAGAGGAGCCCACAGTCACCACAGCTAGAGAGGAGCCCCACTCACCACAGTGAGCGAGGAGCCCCCACTCACCACAGCTAGAGGGGGGGCCCACAGTCACCACAGCTAGAGGGGGGCCCACAGTCACCAGAGCTAGAGGGGGGCCCACAGTCACCAGAGCTAGAGGGGGGCCCACAGTCACCAGAGCTAGAGGGGGGCCCACAGTCACCACAGCTAGAGAGGAGCCCCCACTCACCACAGCTAGAGAGGAGCCCACAGTCACCACAGCTAGAGAGGGGCCCACAGTCACCACAGCTAGAGGAGGGCCCACAGTCACCACAGCTAGAGGGGGGCCCACAGTCACCACAGCTAGAGAGGGGCCCACAGTCACCACAGCTAGAGGGGGGCCCACAGTCACCACAGCCAGAGAGGGGCCCACAGTCACCACAGCTAGAGGGGGGCCCACAGTCACCACAGCTAGAGGGGGGCCCACAGTCACCACAGCTAGAGGGGGGCCCACAGTCACCAGAGCTAGAGGGGGGCCCACAGTCACCAGAGCTAGAGGGGGGCCCACAGTCACCACAGCTAGAGAGGAGCCCCCACTCACCACAGCTAGAGGGGGGCCCACAGTCACCACAGCTAGAGAGGAGCCCACAGTCACCACAGCTAGAGAGGGGCCCACAGTCACCGCAGCTAGAGGAGGGCCCACAGTCACCACAGCTAGAGAGGGGTCCACAGTCACCATAGCTAGAGTGGAGCCCCCACTCACCACAGCTAGAGAGGGGCCCCTATTCACCACAACTAAAGAGCCTGTGCAGCAATGAAGAAGCAGTGCAGCCAAAAACAAATAAATAAAGTTATTTTTAAAAAAGTAAATGCAACTAGAGTGAATTCAGATGTGAAACTTTGACCAAGACCTCTGGCGGAAGGATCCTGGAGCCACGCACCCCTGCATCTGGGTGGAACTAAGTCTTGCTGGACGCCAGTGTGCACTCAGTAACTGCACCGCGCATATCTCTGCTCTCCTAGGGGCTTCCCCTCATTTCTGACCGTATCTTTCATGTTGTCACACAACCCTGCCTCTTTTATACCCTCTACAGAGGGAGGGGTTTGGTGGGGGGCAATGGCGATGAGCTACCATGGTCTCCTCTACCTCCTGAGCCCCATGTCCCAGAGCCGATAATCTCAGGGACACAGCTGAGGTCCCCAGCTCTTGGACTGAGCTCGTCAGTTATTAAGGGCAGAAAGCAGAAATTTATGAAAAAGCCCCAGGGAGCAGAAATCCCCTAAACGTGGGCATGGGCCTCCTGTTCTCTCGCACACAAAGGAGGCAGGCTTCCTCCCTCTTGAAGGGTCCAAAGGGATGGGCTGCTCCCTCACTTCTGAGGGCACATAGCCGGTCCACGGGGGTGGGGAGCTGGATGCTCCCAGGAGGGAGAGCAGAGACAGGCAGGACAGTAGCAGTTACTCACATTGCAAAGGTTCCCCATTCACCATCCACTGGACCGTGGGCTTGGGGTTCCCATTGGCTCGACACACCAGTCTCCCATCCTCGCCAGGAGCCAGGATGAGGTTCTTGGGTTCATCCAGCCAGTAGGGAGCAGCTGGAAGACAAGGACAGGCATAGGCAAGGGTGTCAAATGACACAAGCAGGCAGAGGAAACCAAGTGGGCTCCCTCTCGGAAGGCAGGAGCCCCCGAGTGTCAGCCCCATGCCCCCACCACCTGCCCAGGGCTCGTCCTGATGGGATGACGGTCCAGACCTTTGGTCGACTTGGCACTACAGATGCGGACTGGTTTATTTCAAGTTCACTGAGCAGGAGTTCTAAACTGGGGCCTCCTGAAGAGCTTTTAAAACACATGAATGCTAGAGCCCATCTTCAACCTACTAAGTCAGAATCCCCAGGGGAAGCCCAGGTGGCCAATGATTTGCAAGCTACCCAGGTACTCCTGATGTGTGCCCAAGGGCTCAAGCCGGGGAGGGTGGTAAAGTAGCAGGGGCTGGCCTCTCTGGATTTCCACTGCTGTTGCTGCAAGATCAGACCACTTAGGAAAGGCATGCTGTTCATTCTTTTCCCGTTGAGCTTTGGTTAGCAGAAGCTCTTAGCTGGCCACTCCTTCCAACTGTTTAGAAATTTTGTGAATATGTGGATTTTTCTGAGAAGAGGGTCCTTCAGATCAGAGTTCAAAGATCTTGAAACCCCAATAAAAGTTAAGCACCCCTATTCTGAGTGTGGTGCTGAAACCAAGGTCACAAGTCAATGAGCATGTGCTAAGAAAGTTCTTGCTCTGTGGTATTCAACCTCATCACCCTGATCATCCATTCAGCCCCGACATTCAGACTGAGAAGTGACTGGTGGACCCCCCAGCCCCATGGCTGGGACCCACAAAGACATGTGCTCCATTGCTGACAACAGCTCAGGTGTTTTTAGGGGAGGGAAGTGATTTATTAAAAAAATAATTCAGGCCATGATCCCTCCCCATTTTTAAAAAGAACCACGTTCAAGTACACAGACAGCATAGGGCTAAGATAACACACCATGAATGGGAATGCGAAATGAAAGACAGGTTCTGGGTCATCCAAACGGGCCACAGAAGAGAGTGCACCTGCTGAGAGAGCCCCAGGCGCTCAGGGGAGGACGGCAACGGTGGGGGGTCTCCACCTGTGACATTCCCCTTCCTCCCTGCCCTGACACACGCACACACACCCGGGGGGTGACGCCACTCCTGCAGGTCGCTGTTGCCACTCATCAGCGTGCTGGTGTCTCCCCACTCACGCACCCACCCCGAGGGGGGTGGCCGTGGAGTCGAGGGCTGGAAGACCGTCATAATGAGAAATGCGCACAACGTACCCTTCACTCTCACCGAGATCGTGTGCCGGATACTGCCCATCTTGTTGGAGGCCAGGCAGAAATACTCCCCAGAGTCTTCCTCGGACACATTGGTGATGCGCAGGGCCTTGTTGAAGTTCTCAAACTTGGCCTTGTCAGATGGCAGGTCCCCACCTTTCTTGTACCATGCAATGTCTGGTGTTGGGCTAAGAGAGACCAAGCAAGAAACAGGCGCTTACCACTAAATGTGGCTGTGCCACACCTGTGTGGAGCCCAGGATACCTGGGTGCCCTTACGGTTACTTGGGCTCAGGAGGACGCGTGTCCTTCGAGAGCTGATCCCTCCTGTGCAGAGGGGATGCTCAGCCACAGGGTGCACAAAGGACTCAGCTAAGGGGGTCTCACACATACAGGAAGCCTAGCTACCTCCTCTCTTCATTATCTCAGAAAGAAAGGCGGCCAGAATGGGATGACTGTGATTGGCAGCATCCTCATTAGGAGCTGTCTGCTTCTCTCTCCCACCCCACCCCCTGCAAAATGTTGCAACAACAGAGCATGCACAAATCCCCAACCCATCCTCCTGGGGGGCGAGCAGAAGTAGGGGTGCAAACCGTACGTACACCCCAGAGGCGATGCACTCCAGCAGGAGGTCCATGCCACGCAGCACCATCTGACTGCTCGCAGTGCCCTGGGGATACATGAAGCTGGGTGTTCTCTCTGCAACTCCTCGGGCTGAAACAGGATGGAACAAGTTCTGTGAGCTTACTGCCCAGAGGGCTGTCCCAGCTGGGCTGAGCTGTTGGACTAGAGAGAAAGGTCATCGTGCCCTCCTGATGATGCCCTTAGCCGCAGAGGCACCAGCCCCAGACCCCCGCCCCCTGCCGCACCGCTGAAACCACCCCAGGGGCCGGGGCATCATTAAGAGAGGTGTGTTAGGAAGCGCGGGGCTCCTCGGCCCCACCGGCACATGTGTGTGAGCAGCTTTAAGCTCTGAGAGGCTCTGCCAAGAGGAGCCCAGCGTCCCCCCAGTTCAGTAAGCCTCTCCCGCCCTGGAAGGGGCAAGGGTTGCCTGGTCAGGGACAGTCCACTCCCTGCGCATCCCGTGCTGGGATCCAGAGGCCAGGGGTGGCCCCAGGGAGGCCGTCTCAGTTTGGGGCCACAGGACAGACAACCTGCTCTTTGGGACCCCGGAGACAAGGAGCTGGGATAAAGCCACAAAGACTCAGATGAACAGTCAGAGATGCAAGGAGCATTATTAATGGTTTAGCAGAGACAGGAGGAGAATTAATGAACAGGGATGACAGGAAATCACTGTGGGGCTAAAAACCATTCTGCTGCTTCACTAATGACTTTGGCACGGCTGGGAGGAGGCTGTTAATTGGATGTGAGAGACTGAGGGAGGGGTGAGAGGCAAGCGCAGCCAGGATGGAGGAGCCGCTCCACCATTCAACCAGGCTGGAGCAGCCCTGGGGCCTGCAATCAGTGACACACACACAGCTTTCCAAGGACAGGGGCTCACAGAGGCGACACGCTCAGGGTGGCTCTTTCCCTGTGGAAGGGGTCATGCACGTCTGGGGACTCCCCAGAGCAGTAGACCCCACCTTACTGGAGCCTCACCTCTCCCTTAGAGCTCTCTGCACGGTTCTACGGAAATGAATGAGATGGGACGAGGAAGAACAAGGGTTCTCTAACCAGGAACCCCAAAGCAAGGACAAACTGGAGGGGTCACCTTTGCTCAAAAGGTGTACAACTGTCAACAAGAAGAGTTACAAATATAAATCCAAGCTGGGCCTACCCATGGATTTAATGGGTCTCTGACTCAGCTGGAGGAGTGGTGGGGCTGCCAGGGTCTGGGAGCCCTCAGACATGCCTGGAGTGAGAGCAGGCATGCTTCCAGGTGGGGCGGGTACTGTTACTGGGTGCCTGGAGTGAGAGTGGGCATGTTTCCAGGTGGGCTGGGTACTGTTGCTGGGTGCCTGGAGTGAGAGCGGGCATGCTTCCAGGCGGGGGGGCAGGTACTGTTACTGGGTGCCTGGAGTGAGAGTGGGCATGCTTCCAGGCGGGGGGGGGCTGGGTACTGTTACTGGGTGCCTGGAGTAAGAGCGGGCATGCTTCCAAGTGGGGGAGGGCAGGTACTGTTACTGGGTGCCTGGAGTGAGAGTGGGCATGCTCCAGGTGGGGGGGTGGGTACTGTTACTGGGTGCCTGGAGTGAGAGCGGGCATGCTTCCAAGCAGGGCAGGTACTGTTACTGGGTGCCTGGAGTGAGAGCGGGCATGCTTCCAAGCAGGGCGGGTACTGTTATTGGGTGCCTGGAGTGAGAGCGGGCATGCTTCCAAGTGGGGGGGGGGCGGGTACTGTTACTGGGTGCCTGGAGTGAGAGCAGGCATGCTTCCAGGTGGGGGGGCGGGTACTGTTACTGGGTGCCTGGAGTGAGAGCGGGCATGCTTCCAGGCAGGGCTGGGTTCAGTTACTGGGTGCCTGGAGTGAGAGCAGGCATGCTTCCAGGCGGGGCTGGGTTCAGTTACTGGGTGCTGGTGGAATGAGGATAGGGTGGCAGGAGCCCTGTCTCAGTGCCCCTGTTGGGCTCATGGGCTAGCTGGGGTCTGGCTGGCACAGTGGGGCTCCTGTCCTACGGGCACCTAGTTTCTCTCCATCAGCCATCAGGGGAGGGTGTGTCACAGAACTGGCAGGTATTTTATCCTTTTATCAAGGGGAAGGAATGATGAAACATACGTGGAGGTAATTAGTCTGCTGGGACAATACATGGCATGTAGCAAGTGTTCGGTAAATGTTTGCGGAATGAATGAATTCAAGAGGAGAAAAGAAGAAAAAAGAAGGTAACAGTTTACCCCATGTCATCTCTCTATGTAGATGTTCTCATCTGTCCCACCAGCACACACACATATACAACATTGGCTACTGAAGAGGTTAATCCATTATGTGGTTAATCGGTTACCATCTGTAACTGTAATCGTATCCAGCTCTCAGTATCAAAGAAGCCTGATGCCAAGCAGCAGCTTCCTCCCACCCATCAACCTGGAATTGCCCAAATGGTCAGACAACACAACGTCAGGGGCACCAGAAGGAGAAGGAGATTTGAAGGCAGGAGGCTCTTGTGCCAGTTTGGTGAATCTGTTGAGAGCCGGGAACCGTGGGGTTATATGGAAGTTCAGTCAGCATATTACTTCCATGTGGGACCCAAACCTGCAGAAACCAATTTGTGACCCTGTGGACATTTAATTCACACCTTAGCATGCAGCCCTGTAAGCACACATGACCAGCAAAGCATTCAGGATGGAAAAGGGGGAAGTGAGCACAGAGGTCCCCTGTGGCTTCCTGGACACACTGCAGCTGGGCCTATAAGAAGGCTACAGCATCCTTCATTTACAGGATGCGGGCTAGCAACCACAGAGTCGTCCCAAAGGAGGAGAAGCCACTGGGAACCAGGCCAAAGTTCAAAAATACAGGGAAGAGTATCTTAAAGGCAGAGGTCACAGTCAGGGCTGCCACCTGGCCGCTCACTGTGGGCCAAGCACCGGCTCAGCTCCATCTCTACCCCCATCATCACGTTTGAAAACCACAGCAAACCTGGGGGCATGCCTCTCATTTTCCAACAGAGGCTCAGCAGAGTCAACAGACTTGCCAAAGTCACAGGCCAGTTATGTTTGGATTCTGGAGCACTGGTGCCAAAGCTTGACTTGCAGCATCTATTCTATACTGCCTCTCTCTTTAAAGATTGATACCCTACTTGTTCCTACTACTGACAGTCAGTTTTGGGAAGATCTTTCTTACTCAAACCAAAGAATACCAAAATTCAAGGGCAAAAGAAATAAAGGAGAAAGATATTTTTGTTTTAATGAGCCTCTCTAGTGAAGCTATTCCATGATGTTTTCCTCAAATATTGTTCTTGCCATCTCAGCTGAGAAGTCCTTCTCTCCTCGATGGCTATTCAGTAAAGTTAGGGAGATCCTTCTCTCCCAAATTGAAAAAACAGAAGCTGGGCTGGATGTCAAGAGGCTCCAAAGACATCTCACGTGGACTGTTAAGGCCATGGAAAGCTTAAAGAGGAGTCAGGGTGACACATGGGATCTTTACGGATGAAAAGGCTGGACTCAAAGGGGAGGTTGTGAAGAAATGTCCCCTTACATGAAAGGGATTTACAGGAAATTTTATGAAGGATAATCCAGCTGGTACCTTTGGGAGTCACTGCTCCCAAGGGAGGGTAGCTCACTCCTTTCCTGGGAGACACAGTCCCAGAAGAGAGCTAGAGACAAAGGCGAACTCTACGAGCTGTGTGTGTTGGGAAATGACAGTGTTTCACAGGATTCTTCTCAGAGGGGGGCATCCAGCCTCTCCAGCGTGATGATGCTTTTCTCATTCTCCTTGATCACCAAGGCTGGAGTCAGACCTCACATCTGAACAAACTCAGAATCCAGCTGCTAACGCTCACATCGCTGAAGACTCACAGCTTCCCACATGGGCTCATCTGACCTCGAGGTCATGGGCAGCCCATCCTCTGCTGCTCTTGCTGTGGTGCAAGAGTGCACTCGTGGGTTTCCAGGGAATCTGGTCAGCAGGGGCATGTCAGGAGACGCCTCTGCCTCAACCACCTTGGCTTTACAGAGACAAGGAAAACTGCCTCAGTAGTCTCCTGCAAGAGGACACGGCAAGACTAACGGAAACCTGAGGTGCTTGTCTCTGTCAAGTACTGCGAGTCAGCAGAAGAAGAGTTCAGTGAATCAGATGTGTCTGAAAATCTTCGCCACACACAGCTTTTAGGGGTGGCTGCATCCTACCCTTGCTGCTTCCAGTTCTCGGAACTGAGAACTCGCGGCTGGATTCCTGGCATCTCACCGCCTCTCTGGCTCTAGGAACGGCTGACCGAGCAATCTCAGAAGATGAGCAAAACTCTTTGCCTAGTAACATTTAATACCTTCCACTGCCAAGAAATCTCTTCCATAAATCTACCCCCAGCCCCTCACGCAGGAGCTGGGGCTCTGTTCTTACCCTGCTCTCAGCACAGCTGAGAACTAGAAAAGCTTTCGTTTTTCTAGTCTGCCCTACAATTTCTCCCTCCATAGTACTTTCTTCCTGTGATTGTGCCTGTCTCTCTCCCCTAAGCTTCTCTACAATTCCTCCACGTCCCTCTTAATTTCAGAAGCAAAGAACAACTGTGCCTGATCCAGTCAACACTCAACCATCCTCTTTAACACCAACAATGGTAACATTTATTAATCACGGGTGTGTTTCACATCTCACTAGGGACATATGCACATTATCCTATTTAATCTTCACAACAATATTTTGGAGCAGGTAATATACCCATTCTGCAGATAAGGAGATTAAAGTTCTAACAAACTAAATGACTTGCCCAAGGTCACTTGATGGCATGTCTTAGAGCCTGAGATAATTCCAGGCAGACTGTCTCCTTGCCTGGATGAATTCTAAGTGGCAAGTTACCATCTCAGACCAGCTTCCCCCTGCTACTTAGCATGTCAGGGGACACCTGGCATACATTCACAGGATACCAAACCACTCTAGGAAAAGTGTGATTATGGGCTGGCCCTGTTGTTACAAAAGGGGCATATTTCAAATCTAAGCTCAGAAGGGTACTGGGCATTACTCATCACACTGTGCCTCTCGGTCCAGGAACTCAAGGAAGGACTGTATCTTCTCTCCTTCCTTTTCACCTTCTGTTTTCTTCTAGAAGCAACTGAGCTAGTTGTCCTTT